CATCATGTTTTGAACACACTCGTTTTAGTCGATATTGCATGCAAATCACAAAGAAAAAATTATTAAGCTCCCAAAATCCCCCTAGTTGATTAGACATGGTATATTTTGACTTTTTAGAGTCAACTAGACTGTATTTTATATAATAAATTTTCAAAAATATTTTTTATCAATTTAATTTTTTTTGCAAAAAACACATTTTTTACCCCAAAACTCACTTTGACATTTATTTCATCTTGGCGATAGCTCTTACCCTGACGCAAATCAATCGCAAATATTATCCATCTTTAAGACAATTGTTATCTATTTTAAATGTGTCAATCTGGGAGTTTCTTTATTGATTGCGTAAGTATGTTCTTTTCTCAAGGCGACTGTGTAATAAAAAGTTAGATCATATTTTTCGAAAGTGCGAAGATCAAAGGAATCGTTAATGGTATGAGGGGTGTATAAAACCTTCGAATTTTATAATTAAATCCAAATTCTGATCGCAAATCCAAGAAAATGGGCAAGAAATCCAAGAAAAGGGCATATGAATGGGCATATGTTTGAGGTTCTTTGCAACAGGCAACTTACAAATGACAAATAGGGACTTTGTTGGAATATTAACCCAAGCATTTGTCTGGAGGTGGTGGGGGAGGTGTCAACTATAATGTCAAGGTACAGTATATTGTAATTTTCGATATGCACTGACTTCAGTGAATCAAGGTATTTCTTTTTTAAAGGTATTAAAAGGTACTAGCATGGGCTTTCAACTAGAGTTGAAAGCCCATGGTACTAGTATAAAGTAGAGATTTGTTATTAGTAGAAAATACTAGTATGTAGATAACTTCAATGAGTTTCACTTCATAGGTCTACTTGAATGTATACTTTCCCTCGAAATAAACGTCCATTGGAGTATTTTGAAATGAAATGAGAAATTACATTGACCCCCCATCGAACGCAAATCGGTATTTAGGTGTTTCGATGGTATTGAAATAATTTTAACATATACCACGTGTACAGTGGAATTTTGGAATTAACTGGAAAGGTGCAAACGAGGTAGACTCAATTGCAGAAAATCTCTTGCAATTGAGTCTATATGGTGCAAACGGTCCTTTACCCTCACAATACTTTTAGAAGTAAATAAAAAACGACTTCGGACCACGTCTAGGAGCGGGTGTCATCTAGAAGCAAGTTACGTTCTGATATAATGTTTGGCTCCTAGACGTTGTCTGCTCCAAGAAGAAGGCGAACTTATTTGAAGTTTGACATATGAAACTGTATAATCAGTTAATCACACAAAGGAATATTGCGAACGGGAACACGTCATTGTATACCAATACATCCTCTCTCCCGAGTGTACACTCGACAAAATGCTCTCATCCGAGTGCACCTGTGTCATTACATGCTCTCAACCGAGTAAAGTTTCGTTTGTACAGACTTTCATCGAGTGCATCCTTCTCACTCTCTCACCCGTAAAAATTAGTACCGTGGGTACTGGGCTCACATGGTGTTGCTCAAAAGTGAAATTAAAAAAGACGGGTATAATTTTTTGCAGATTTTTTGTGACAAAATTATTTCATACAACTACTCTTTACAAAGACATGGCTTTTTACAATGCAGGACACCTGAACTTATTTGTAAAGCTAGGAAATGGGCCAAAAATGAATTTCCCGAGACAAAAATGGTGGCCATTTTGAAATTAGGCGAGATTTTGAAGCAGGAGTCACAGGTTTTTTTTTCTTTATTGATGTTGAACAAAATTATTTTAAATCTGGAATCCTATCTACAGAGGATTTAAAAAGTGTTGACAGAGGTTTAAAACTTGCCACTTTTTTGGACTGACTGAGAGACAGATGGACGAATCAATGTTAACTAAAATGGCTGAAAATAAAAAAACTGATATAATATTTTGCCGACTTTTTGTAACAAAATTATTTCATACAACTACTCTTTACAGTGACATGACTTTTTACAATGCAGGACAGCTGAAATTATTTGTAAAGCTAGGAAATAGGCCAAAAGTGAATTTCGCGAGACAAGAATGGTGACCATTTTGAAAATAGGCGAACTTTTGAACCAAGAGTCATAGGAGAGTTTTTTGTATTGATGTTGAACAAAATTAACTTAAAACAGGAATCCTATCGACAGAGGGTTTAAGGCAAATGGTCCAAAAGTGGATTTTGCGAGACAGATGGACAAATCAATGTTAACTAAAATGGCTGAAAATAAAAAAAAATGGATATAATTTTTTGCTGATTTTTCGTAACAAAACTATTTCATACATCTACTCTTTACATTGACATGGATTTTTACAATGTAGGACACTTGAAATTATTTGTAAAGCTAGGAAATAGGTCAAAAGTGAATTTCGCGAGACAAAAATGGCGGCCATTTTGAAAATAGGCGAGCTTTTGAGCCAGGAGTCATAGGGGAGTTTTCTGTATTGATGTTGAACAGAAATAACTTAAAACAGGAATCCTATCGACAGAGGTTTTAAAACGTGCCACTGTTGTTGACCGAAATTGGATTTCACAAGTCAGATGGACAAATCAATGTTAACTAAAATGGCTGAAAATAAAAAAATAGATATAATTTTTCGCTGATTTTTTGTAACAAAATTATTTCATATATCTACTCTTTACATTGACACAGATTTTTACAATGTAGGACACCTGAAATTATTTGTAAAGCTAGGAAATGCGTCAAAAGTGAATTTCGCGAGACAAAAATGGCGGCCATTTTGAAAATAGGCAAGCTTTTGAACCAGGAGTCATAGGGGAGTTTTCTGTATTGATGTTGAACAGAAATAACTTAAAACAGGAATCCTATCGACAGAGGTTTTAAAACGTGCCAGTCAAAAGTGAATTTCGCGAGACAAAAATGGCGGCCATTTTGAAAATAGGCGAGCTTTTGAACCAGGAGTCATAGGGGATTTTTCTGTATTGATGTTGAACAGAAATAACTTAAAACAGGAATCCTATCGACAGAGGTTTTAAACATGCCACTATTGTTGACGGACGGACGGACAGACAGATGGACGGACGGACGGACGGACGGACAGACAGACGGACAAGTGAGCGATTGCAAAAGCTCACCATGTGAGCTAAAAAACCACGTCATACATACTCTAACCCGCGACGGCCAGGTACACCCTCGACACTAAGTACTTTTACCAGACGAGTGCACCCTTGTAAGTACACTCTTAAAACCAGGGCACCCTCGTGATAACATGCACACTCAACTACGATGCACCCGGATGAGAGTGTGTACTGACCACTAGGGTGAGAGTGTACGAACGAGGGTGCACTCGGATTAGAGTATGTGATGACAAGGGTGCACTCGGGTGAGAATGTGTACTGATATTCAATTATCAATGTGTTCCCGATCGCGAGATTCATGTAATGATGTAAAACTATAATATACTTAGAAATACATCCCATGGAAATTGAACTTAAAGATAAGTGATTATGTGTGATATCGTTACACGTTGATAGTTTTTGATTGAAATAATCACTTTCTAAAATTAAAACTCAATTCGAGATAAGTATTTGTATGAGACCCGGACATTGTATTTTATTAATATGATTTCCCTGCCAATTTATATTAAGTTGGAATTCTACATGTTTGCGATCGCCACTTACGTTGCGATCTGCGTTGCGACAACCCCGTGATAAGACGCAAAGCAGGAGTTGCGCCAGCGCATATTGGAGATTCGCAAACGCAACGCAGATGCAAATCTTGCGACGAGCGTGTGATAAGGCTTCAGAAGACGACATTTTGTTACCAAAACGAACCGTTTCGGTAACCAGCGTAATCGAGCGGATCACCAGTGTATGTATGAGAAGTTACAAATACAATATAAGAAATAATATATATAAACATTTATTAGGATATAATTAAATAATACAACAATTTTGTTTGTACAGAAATACAATAGTTAAACATTTAACAGTACAAGAATGTATTTTACATGCACATATAATATGCACATAGTAGTTATATACACATCAATTGCATGAATATTGTTAACAAATGTATTATCATAATTCAATTAAAAAAATCTAGGATTTGCACAATTGTAAACTTTATTGCATGTGATGATATTATGCTAAATAACTATCACAAAATAATATTTCTATGGCTTATTATGACCTAAATATAAAATTAAAGGATGCTGAATGAATTGCTTTGAGTACCCATTTATTTATGTCTAACTAATACAGCACATGCCTATGTTGACATACAAATGTTCGTAAAATATGCTAGACAAAAAACTGTTTCCATATTTGCCACTTATTAAACTGTTGTATGTCATCAATCTATCTTAACACATATCTTTTTAAAATGCAATGTACAGGGTGTCCCAGAACTCATGAGAATTGGGACACCCTGTAGTAATGAAATAAATGAACAAAATTAGACAACTCAACAACACAAAACATATAAAGTAAAAACATAAAAAGTGCATCAAATAAATATATTACATCAATGGATCAAGAAGTACATATGTAAATAACTGAGACAATGTTAAATACAGTTAAACCATTGTCCCTTTTTCTAATCAGGGATGTATCAAACTGATATATTACATCAATGGATCAAGAAGTACATATGTAAATAACTGAGACAATGTTAAATACAGTTAAACCATTGTCCCTTTTTCTAATCAGGGATGTATCAAACTGATATATTACATCAATGGATCAAGAAGTACATATGTAAATAACTGAGACAATGTTAAATACAGTTAAACCATTGTCCCTTTTTCTAATCAGGGATGTATCAAACTGATATATTACATCAATGGATCAAGAAGTACATATGTAAATAACTGAGACAATATTAAATACAGTTAAACCATTGTCCCTTTTTTATACATTACATATATGGATCAAGAAGTGTATTTGTGAATAACTGAGACAATGTTAACTATAGTTTAACAATTGTCACCTTTGTTCTAATCAGGGATGTATCAAACTGAGACATTAATTAAAACAAAGCTGCAAGATAAGAATTCACATAAAAACTTTCAAATATTTCTTGTATTAATTCCCCATAGCCAAAGGTTGGCCATTTCGTGTTATAACTTGAGGATCTTCCATCCCAGTATACATCTGAACCATATTCACTACAATACACTTCATATGTTATTTATGAGTAAATAGATCTTATGGGGTGAATATGGTACAATTGAAGAACTTGATTTATCAATGCTATAAAATTGAGGCCTCAGAACATATCAACATTGTTTTGATGTACTAGTATGTAAAGTATGGTAGTGTATTTAAAATTCACAATGTTTGATCAGTTCACTTATAATCATAATTTAAACTTTTTAAGTTGGTATAACTTTCTCCACTTCATAAAGATGTCAGTGTACAGCAATGAATTGAATGGCTGCCCTCTATTGTGCAGGTGTGGTAGCAGGAGCAAGTCTGTTGATATAACCTATAGCTTTGAAAACTAAGTTCCTCAAAAATGCTGGACATTGTGGCATGTTTGAAAAATGTTCTGCTGTGACTCTTAGTTCATAAAATAATGCCCTGAAATTGAAATCAAAGAAATAACAAATATGTTTCAAATAATATGAAACATTTTTGACAAATATTTGTTTGTTTTATAAGTAAACATACAAATAATGAACACATGTATTGAATATGCATGTTTACTGTATGTATCGAACAATCAGAGGGTATATAGCAAATTACTACTGCTTATTCCAGAGCTGTCAAGTGTCCCGCGAATGGCGGGATTATCCCGCGAATTTGATCAAAATTTGGCCAATTCACGTGTCCCACAATGTCCCGAGAGTCCCGCAAATGCCGGCTTTGACCTCCGCGAATTTTCAAAATTGTAACAATCCCCGAGACTGAATAATTGTGATTATCTTGTGATTAAGAAGCTAAGTTTTTGCGCTTTTGAGGAGTAAAGTTTATCTAATTTGAAAAGTGCTGCCATTTGCCAAACTCCCAGTGCATCAGATCATCGAAGACTGCTTTTGAAAATAACATAGTCCATTTATAAAACTGTGATTTTGATCCAGATAACACCATAGTTGGCTTCCTTAGTATCTATGCCGTTATTTGGTATCGAAATAAAGAGGAAGAGTGCAATTTTCATTTTAATTACGAAAATAGGGATGTATGTCACGTATAGTTCCAAAGTTGGCCTTTTTACTACGCGTGTCACGGCCTTCATCTACGAACTGAGCAAATGTTAGCAAACGCGAGTTCCAATAAATGGACACCGTATAATTTGATTTAGATTAATCGAACCCCAACATGAATAGGTACATTTTAATATGTAACACTATGGGGGGTAAATGTTTCATAGTTGGTCACGAACACCATAAGTGCAAAGTATTGTTCAGAATTTTTGAATTTCGTGTTGGATTACGGTACTCACAACTAAAGCGTGTTTTTTGATACAGGGTGGTCAAAAAATGGAGCCGAACGCATTCCTCAGCAGGTATGGCCTGAATGACACAAATGATCTCACTTTTGAGGTTTGCAATTGTCCCGAGGTCATTCTCATATACTTTATCTCTGCCATATCCCCACAGGTAGGGACATTTCAGACGATGAGTCAAGTTTCCTCACAACCCAAAAGTGGCCACTGGGCATGTTCTTTAGAGTACTGTAACATTGTGACTATCAATCTGATGGTCGTGAAATAATTTAGGCTGGAAGCAAATTGAATGATGTACAAAAGTGTAAAATATCAGGGAGTTATTTTTTAAAATAACAAAGATATGAGGAAAATGGTATTAGGGTTTCCATATTTTGACCACCCCGTAGTTTAATAATATTTCTATGCGTATTGTGTGGAATTGTGTTGACGTTTACTTAAGTTAAGTGCATTATATTTGATAAATCAGTATCTGAAAGTTTGATTTGAGAACTTTTACATTAAGCCCCAATCACGTAAATCCCTTTCAAGAATGTCCTGCGACATCCCGCAAATTTAGGTATATGTCCCACAAAATCCCGCGAATTTAGGGCACTTTGTCTAAAAAAATCTGTCCCTCTATGAAGTCTTTGGTGGTAACCCTGTTAACTGTCCCGCAATTAGCGTGTTTGTCCCTCGAATGGTCCCGCGAAATCCCGCGAATTTGATCAAAATTTGACCTATTAGCGCAATCACGTAAATCCCTTAAATGTCCCGCGAAATCCCGCCAATTTAGGTGGATGTCCCGCTTAATAGGTGTTATCACTCATTTTTCAAAATGGCAGCCGATGCGCTTGCTACCAAATAATAGAAGTTATATCTAAGCATGCTGAGAGGCAAAATCAGTAATTTTAGGGTCTAATTCTGGGTTTTAGAGGTCACTGATTCGATTTATGCCTAAATCCAAGTCATCAAAACATAAATTCACATGAAAATCCAAGATGGCCACCAATTTTGGTGAAAAAACAAATATGTAACTAATAATACAAGCTAAAACATTTCAAAATGATTTTGAAGTCAAGTCTAAGGATTTTATTCATGTCTAAATCTATGTCATCAAAGGATTACCTTATATGTAAATCCAAGATGGCCACCAAAATAGGTGCAAAAAGGAATATGTAACTACATGTATTGATACATACTCAAAGTACAGATAAAAAGCAATTTTATAGATCATGAAAGGGTTTAGAGGTTAATGATTTTACTTATATGCTTCATTTTAGTCTAAGTAATCAAAGAATTACTTTTCATAGAAAACCAAAATGGCCGTCAATATGGGTGCCGAAACGAACATGTAACTTTTAATGTAAGCTCAAAGAATAGCTAAAATGTAGTTTTGTAGATCATGAAAGGGTTTGGGGATAAATGAATTGTCTTAGTTTTCAAAGAATAACTTGATGTGGAAATCCACGATGGCTGCCAAAATGAATAAGTTACCATTAATATAAGCTCAATGAACAATTACAAAGTGATTTTGGAGACCATGTCTAGGTTTCAATGGTCGAGAATTTTAAGTCAATGGCTAGGTTTCAATGCTTGAGAACTTTAAGTCATCAAATAATTCTTTTATTTGGATATTCAGGATGGCAACCAAAATGGCTGCCAAAATAAATAATTAATTTTGGAACATATTCATTTGGATATCAAAGATGGCCCTGATGTGATGTACCATCTCAATTGTACTCTCTTCATCAAAACAATTAACTGGTTTGTGAAAGCAGAAGAGTCCTAATATGGAGGTCTCAAAGGGAATGATGATACAAGACATCCTTCTTGCCGAGCCTTTATGGACATCATAAATGTTATGACCTAGTCATTCCCTGGAGCATAATGGATTTTATGCTGCTTGGAGAAGATGAGATGTATGTAGTGCAATCTCAGGAATCTTTTCAACTAAGTGGTATACAAAGGAATACCCTTTGCATTCATTCGACTTAGCCTCTGAAAAGAGAGCTTCATCTCTAGTTTAACTAGAGTCTGCGAGCAGGGTAACAATTGAAGCTTATGTGCAATTTTTCATACAATCTATGATGAGAGAATTGAATATATTTTGACAAAATATTTTGATGGGTCCCAACAACAGCATCTGTGAGAACTAGAAAAGTGGATGAAAGCTATTGACCTTAGCAATGTAGGGAGTTGGTACATAGAGATTATCCTATATGAGGTTCAGGATATTGGGATTATCCCGAGGCCAATATAATATACCTGCCCGAGGGCCGTAGGTCTGTAAAGAAAGGACAAACTCAATCCAAGTCTACAATTACACATAAGATAATATCTCAGATGGACTGAAGAGCGCCGAGGATGAAGACCTCATTGACAAAGTAAGGTGTAAAGGGTGGACGGTGAGACACTTTCCAGTAGGCTTTAGAGGCTTCCAATGTTCTTCTCGAAACTTCATGTTGAGAGAACTAGGTCTGCAGCCTGTGAACTTCAAGATGGCAATAAAGGAAATAGGTTAGATGGTTGAGTCATGCTCCATATGAATGTGATAATTTATTTTGGCAGCCAGTTTGGTGACCATTTTGGATTTTAATATGAGGAAAGGTTAAGATAACGTTAGTAAAGGCTAGTAAATTGAAACCATTTTCTCCTGAAACCCAGTCTCAGATATCTATAAAATAACTATTCTAATTTTTCTATGTGCATATAAATTCATTTTTGCAGCCATTTTGGCAGCCATTTTAGATTTCTATATAAAGGTATTCTTTAATCACTTCAATTTACACATGAATGGAATCCTTAACGTCTAAAACCTTACCATGGTCTGCAAAAGCAACCGTTTTTTGAGTTTACATAAATAGTTACGTATTCATTTTGACATCCATTTTGGTGGCCATTTTGGATTTCTATGTAAAGTAGTTCTTTGATTACTTAGATTTAGACACAAATAAAATCCCTAGCCTCTAAAACCTTTTCATAGTCTCCAAAGTCACTTTTTAACCGTTCTTTGAGCTTTTTGAGCTTATATCAATAGTGACATATTTGTTTTGACATCCATTTTGGCAGCCATCTTGGATTTCCAATTATTTGATGACTTAGATTTTGACTTAAATGAAATCCTTGACCCCTAAAATCCCAAAATAGACCTCAAAATCACTGTTTTTGTCTCTCAGTATGCTTAGATATAACTTCTTTTATTTGATAGTAAATGCACCGACGGCCATTTTGAAAAATGGGTGATAAAACCCATTTAGCTGCCACTTCCGCAATGCTATCATATAATTTCTTACTCTAGAGGTATTTACCTTGCCAAAAGTCACAATGAGGCTTATTCCCCTAACTTGGTACCGATAACCTAAATTTTGGGGTGAAGCTGATGGCCTATTGAGGTTCATCTAAGAGATAGGAATTTGTAGTACAAACCTGCTACATAAATTCCTCCTTAAGGTATATCTAAGAGATAAGAACCTCTTCATCAGTACCTGCTATATATACAGGGTGTTCCAAAAGTAACAGGACTGGTGCTGGCATTTTGTCAATTTTGCACTAAGTATCTTCAAATTTTCACAAATTGTACCTTGCAGTATTGCAACTTAAATTATAAAGTTTTTTTTAGAAAAATTATTTAGTTATTTAGTTTAGTTATTTAGTTATGGTTACTATAGTAACATGACATTCCAATACCCGGGGCAACTTTTTTCCTGAAAATGTGATATCTAACATTTTTGTATTACTGAAGAAAGTATCTAATTCACCTATTATAATACAACATTTCTTGTTTATTTTATTAATTCCTTTGTTGTAAAAGTGTTACTATACAACTCAGATTCAAGTATAATTTCATAATGATAATAACATTTATTCAATTTCCTGGAATATCACAGTGTATAACAGTCTGAACAATTCACGGTTGAGTTTTTGAAAAGACCCAATTTGAAGCCAGCCATCTACCTTGATAGCGCGCCTGCCCGCAGGTCCGCATTTAAGATCATGCAGCTATAGAGGAACTAGGTCTTAAGGTCTAAAACCAAGCACCATACTCCTCTGATCATGCAATATCTAATTTTTACTTATATTGAGAATGGAATGCTAATCAGTGCTGTAACACCTTTAAAGATGAGAATGACCTTCTCCAAATTGTCCAATCGACCCTGCGTGACATGCCCTCAAATGGGTTCACTCATCTGTTTGGGTCATGGATACAGAGTACTACTCATGTACTGACCAAAGAGGAGCCTATTTTTCAAAGTAGAGGATATATAGGAATGTCAAATGATGTGAAACAAATGTAATTCCCACCAGTTGTTGCATTTCAACTTTGATATGGCATGTACAAAATGATATGGCATGTCCAAAATGCTTTATATCTCTGTAACTTTTTGTGTGGAATGTTGCCCCGGGTATTGTGATGTCATGTTACTATAGCAACCATAACTCTACCCACCCAAGTTTCATATATTTTGTAGAAACTTTGCAGTTTTAGTAACGATACATGAAAGTACATTATGTAAAATTTTGAAGACGATTGGTGCATATTTAACAAAATGCCAGTAGCAGTCCTGTTACTTTTGGAACACCCTGTATTCCTCCTTGAGGCATATCTAAGAAAAAAGAATTTGTAGTACAGTACCTGCTATATGGATTCCTCCTTGAGGCATATCTAAGAGATAGGAACCTGTAGTATAGGAATGGCATCAGTAGACTACCAGAACCACTGAAATGTAAATGTTTTATGTTTCTTTAGCTTATAAATTTCCAAAAATACTATTTAAATTGCAGTGGGGTTCATTGTTGTGATACAGGATGAATAGGACATTGGGAATGTATGGAGGGAAATATAATATAAAACAGATAGCAATTTCAATGGGTTATCTTGAGGTTTAATTTGCATGATCGGATTCCACAGATATTAATAATTACAATGTGGTTATATCAAGATCTTCCAATACACATACATGGTTCAACTGGATATGAGATACATCTGAGGGAAATAATATTAAGCTAATATGATTTGGGTTTTGATTTAGACAGGTCCTCCAAAACAAAATGTATATTGCATATTTCAAAAATATGAAAAATATATCAATTCACAACTCATGATTGCCATTTATCATATGACAAAGAAAATGCAAAGTATTTAAGGTCTAAATAATATAAGACATCCAGGGATCTCCTAAAGTCCATCCTCATAATAACAAAACAATATAATCTTGATAACATTTTACTTACGAGAATATCATAATAACTGTTGCTGGCATTAAGAATATCTCATTGCACGCTATAAATCGAAGTATGTTCGCCTGCTGCAGCTGTAGCTTTGCTATCAAGTTGCGCAGCAGCTGTTGGGAGTTTGGACCCATTATCTGGAAACATATGATATGTTATTATACATTGTATATATATTTCATTTTATGACAGTACAGTATTTAATAATGTGACAGTACAATAACAATCACAATAACAGCACAGTGACAGTACAATAACAAGGCATTAACATGACAAAATGTCACAACCTTTCGAATGTCATTGAAGGTTGACCAGAGGTCAAATCTCAAAAGTAAAGTCAGAATTGAACTTCTAAGAGCTTGTAGATTTTGGAAAGAATTGGTAAAATAGCATGTTCAAAAAGGACCTTATGACGTTAAGAAGATCATTGAAAGTGAAATATGAAATCTGAAGCCAAATTTGAACTTCTGAGAACTTGTAGATGATTTTGAATAAATAATTTGGTCAGTTTGAAGCAAGTTCAAAAAATACCTTTTTGACCTGAAGAAGGTCAGTGAAGGTCAAATCTCAAATTTGAACTTCTGAGAACTTGTAGATCTGATTTGGAAAAATTTGAATCCAGTCTCAACAGTACTTGTAAGTTATGGAAGTTGTAAGATTTTATTACAATAAATTCATTACAGACGCGGTCTACAAAAAAGTTGGATAAAATATATATACATTGTATCTTTATTGACTCTTTGATGTCATCACAATGACATATTAGTCAGTAAAGTGTACAATATACAAAATTCTAATATGATACGTGACGTCACAATAACTAGAACAATTGATTTAGTGGTCTATATTGGAGTATGTATGACCGCAAAAATTCATAAATACAAAGAGTTGTGTTTCTTGTCTGTTTATCATATTAGAATCGTAACAAATACCTTGATTTTATGATTAATGTCAAATATATGACCTCAAATTTTATTCTGGCCATTGCCAAAAATCTTAATTGCTATGCGATTTCGGTCTTTCAACAATGAACAGAATAAAATTTTCGGTCATATATTACGCCATAAATCATAAAATATGTCACCTTGGTGGTGACATAACAATCACGATAACAACAGTGATAACACCCGCTATGGCTCAGTGGCAGAGAGAGTCAAGGTTACCAATATCGCTTGGCCCCGGGTTCGATTCCCGGTTCAGACAAGTTTGTTTGTGCGTTACGTAATTCTGGGTGTTTGACTGAGTGGTTCATGACTCGTATAAAAGGCTGTGGTGTGTACCTGTATGTCTGTGTACCTGTGCACATAAAAGAAAACAGGGCTCCTCCAAGGAGGGGTTTCTGGCTCTATCTTCGAGTGTAAACAACGTAAAATACGGAATATACCAATGAGGTATTGCTCGCCAAATATGGCGGTAACCAAGATATAATAATAATAATAACACAATAACAATCAGATGTATTCAATGAATGGCACGTGAGCTTTGCTAAATGTAAAACCCTGTCTTCTCTTGTGTCATTTGAATTAGGAATAACATGTTGAGAAAAGGCATGACCAGTGACTGTATATACTTACATATAGAATTAGGAATAACATGTTGAGAAAAGGCATGACCAGTGACTGTATATACTTACATATAGAATTAGGAATAACATGTTGAGAAAAGGCATGACCAGTGACTGTATATACTTACATATAGAATTAGGAATAACATGTTGAGAAAAGGCATGACCAGTGACTGCATATACTTACATCTAGAATTAGGAATAACATGTTGAGAAAAGGCATGACCAGTCACTGTATATACTTACATCTAGAATTAGGAATAACATGTTAAGAAAAGGCATGACCAGTAACTGTATATACTTACATCTAGAAGTTTCTTTGTATATGAGACAGAATGGAGGAGTCCAAACAGGAACACAGGAACTAGGGCCACTGATAGACAGTCAAGGAACTTATAAACAAACACGCATACATAATTTACTTTCTAACTCTTAGCAACTTGGACTATTTCTCAAGCTTTGAAGTGGTGGTGAATTATTTTTCAAAACATGTATTTTGGAGGAGTATACTCATCAGCTTAATAGCAGACTGATCTGAGTAATTTAGTGACATAGCAAAATGAAGTCACAATGGAAAACACATTAAAGGTTAAAATGCTGCCTCCTTTTATAGGCCCTTTCTCCGAATAAACCAGTCATGATCTTTATTAAATTTCCATGAACTACTTTTAAAGAATATTCCTTTCAAGCCAATTTCTCTGTTGATATGGAAGCTATAATCTTGTAGAATAAAAGAGGAGATTATCTGTAGAATTTAAATTAAATCATAGAGAACATTGAAAATGAATATTTCTAACCTAATGCTATATGCAAACTAAATAAAGGAATATAATTTTTTCCCTAAAGGATACTAGTCATGGGATAGCTGGTGATGAATATCAATGAGAAGAACAGATAGTGGGCGCTGTCTTCCATGAATAACATTGAGAAAAATTCCCGATTTAGTTGGAAATGTGGAACCCGTTGATGAAGACGAAGGGCGCTAGTTGCAGCATTGCTGATCAGAGCCCTCTGGTAGAAACTGTAGGAATTGCCACTGAAACAAATAAAATGGAATAATACGAGGGGTGATCCAAAAGTCTTGGACGCCCTGCTCTAATTTTGTTGGTTTTTGATAAAATTACTTTAAACTTTCCAATAATAAAGACCAACAGCCTAACTACTTTGTGTATTAATTTCATGGTGAAATGATATATTTTATGTAGTTTTCCCGATAGTTATTAATCTAGTGACCCTGCCATCCGGAACGGTATTTGCACGTGGCAACTTTCAGCCTTAAATGTTGCTGCTATTTGACTTGTTTTGCAAGTCTTGACCACTATCTTTCCTTAAATTTTGAATGTTCAACCATGTTAGTTTACTTCCTTTGTTACTAGGCAACCAATTATTTGTGTTTAAATCATAATGTCACATATGGCAATGGCCGTATATGTCAAGTTCTAAGAAAATGACATCAGACAATCAACCCTCATTTTGGTGTCATTTTTGCTCCAAGATGGCTGCTGAAATGCAGAACATGAAAGAAATCAAAGTGGAACAAAGAATACTACAATATATTTTCACTATTATTGACATTGAGCAGCTACCATATGCAGGATACAGTCTAGATATGGCTCCGTGTGATTTTCTTCCTTTTCTCCAAGTTGAAAGGAGGGTTGAAAGAAAATGTTTTTTACTCATTGGATGAGGTTTAGAGTGGCACTCCAGTAGCATTTGTATCACATAGGCAATTGCCGTTTCATAAATGTCTTTCATTCATTGGTAAAGCGGTATGAAAAATGTGTTCAAATTCGTGAAAAATATGTTGAAAAGTAGGTCTTAATATGCGAAGATGATGATGGCAGATGACACTCAGACTGAAAATCGGAAATTCTCTCATATCATGACTGGTGTTAGGTTGTGCACCTGCACCTAAAGTATTTGCCATATTATAACAGTTGTGACTTGATTTGCTATATTTAAATCCGTTCCGGGTGGCAGGGACCCGGTATCAAAAAGTATTTAGAAAGGTAGCTAAAATATATTAGTTTCTGTTGAAACTTACACACAAAGTTGTTAAGATGTTGATCTTTGTTATCTGAAAGTTTCGTGTAATTATATAAGAAAATAGCAAAGTTAGAGCGGGGCGTCCAAGACTTTTGGATCACCCCTCGTATAAACTTCATTAAAGTGCAACTTGTCAAAATATTTATCCTTTACTGTGTACATGGAATTGAACTTTTAGATACCCTATTTTGCTGTTTGGATCAGGAAGGAAAAAGCTATTATTTGTAGAACTAAAATATCAAAACATATTTCATTTGTGTGTCTAGTGAAAATTTAAAATTCTTTTAAGGAATAGCATCTTCGCTTTCCACTGGGTCTAGGAACAATCGAAACTTTGTGAATCAAGATGAAGGAATAGTATGTTGTATAAATGTTCATTCTGATACACCCCATTTTGCTTTATTTAGTTTGATACTACATTTTTTCTGGAAGTATTTGCACTTCTGTTTAAACTAGAAAATCGCAACTCCACAGAGTAGCAAATCCCAACGAACACTACATATAAATCATCAATCTGTACATTCACAATGTAATATTTACCATCTACTCTTCCCTTCAATAAATATTTTAAATCATTGTAGTATCATGTAACCATACTTTTAAGATAACTCTATGTAATGGCGAATTCTTGCTCTAGTCAGCCATTTTGAATTTTCAGAGGCGCAAATCAGAAAAACAATGCCATAATTGCGAATTTACTCTGAAATCCCTTCAATTTGAGTATAATATAGCCATACTTTTAAGAGATCAGAAAATAATTGCGAAATACCGCATTAGGCGGCCATTTTGAATTTTTTGAGGCCCGAATCAGAAAAAAGCGACAATATTTGCAATCTACTCTAAATTGCTTTTCATTTGAGTATAATAAAGCTATACTTCAAAAACATCTCAAAATTAATGCAAATTCCTGTTTTCCCAACCCCACATTTACGGCCCCTGTGGGTCAGGGTGAAAAGCCCGGGATATATGTGAAATAGATAAATGTTTTTAATATAGTACCAAAATTTCAAATAATAATATTTATTATTTTGGTTTAAAATGAAAAACATAAGATTTTTGCAAAAAATTCCCGCTATTTTTAAACTGGCGGCCATCTTAAAAAAATAGTTTTGCATAAAACTATTCACCAATATACATCTTTCCACCAAATATGAAGAAAATCTCTCAACTAGTATTCGAGTTATCTTCCGGACAGACGGACGGACTGACTGACTGACGGACTGACAGACTGACGGACAGAGGGCTTCACTATATCCCTACAGAACTTCGTTCGTTGGGATAATTACATATAATACTGATATATCTTTTTCTGCTTTTAAAGATATAAGCTAATATTTCAGGTCAATCCCCCCATTATTTGCATAACTTACCCAAAGATAGGAATAATGAAGAGTATGGTAGAAATCACTGTGAACATACGAGTCCCCCACAGAGCTGCATCCACCTTGTTAGCTGACATAAAGCCCTGGAAAATATTTCAGTCTTTGTTTTTAATAACATGTTAAGTAGACAAAATGGAATAATAATCTAAGTATGAGTCCATTGATTAGATGTTAAAGTAGCCAATATTGCCAATTATCTGAAGATGTCTATTTATTACACACATCGTCATGTAGGCATTCATTGTATGAATTTCAGATCAATCTGATCATGACCTTTTAAGTTATCACTGAAAATGTAACAAATAATTCTTGAGTCAACCTAACTTCTAAGGTTAATCTAACTTCTAATCCTTTAATTATGTTACAAAAATGTTGCATATTCTTAAGTCCCTCACATTTGTTGCCTTGGTAACTGATATTGCTAAAAACCTGGGTACTCTTCAGGTAACATCACTATAATAAGTACAGTGTATTTGTTATATGAATTTCAAGTCAATCTAACAAAAACTTTTTTGGGTTATAGCTCATTTTTACTTCTTGAATTATAGATGCTAATTTGTTCCAAAAATGTTCTCATGTCCTTAAAGTCCCCTAAATTTGTTGCCATGGGATTGGATATTGCAATAAAATAAAATGACCCTTAAAACATGTCTTAATGTGAAAAGTGTACATTAGAGTTAATGCAGATCAACATTATCATGAGTATTAGAACAGGTTCAATTTTATCATCAAGTATATGGCAAGAGCAGTTCTGGAAATTAACAGCAGGGGAGGAGAATATGTACGTGAAGTTGTGTGTTAAAGTTTATATGTATGGTCTGACGCAAGGCTAGGTTCAGTTCAGTACAAAGTCATATCAATTAACTGATTAAGGAAGCATTTATTTTGAGATTTGTTTATTGTGAATAGTATGGTGAACATTAATTAAATGTAAATATGTTCAGAGGCATTAGTCATTCAGGTATTGGCAACAGAGTCAAGTGTTTTCCTCAGAATTCGTGTCTGATGATGATAATAATCTGGATATGTTCCTGACAAATAGTACCAAGAAATGTGTTAGTTACATGTACACCATGGAATTAATATTGATGTTTCATGTTTTTCAACTTACAGATTGATTCCTGGTCTATTTGATGTCTAACAATACAAGTTATATTACATTGAGATTAGTGAAACAAGCTCAGCTCTCAGAAGAAAATAAAATATGCACATGGTTACAAAGAATAACCCAGATGCGAGTAGAAATAATCTTGATTTACGTCATTAAAAATTCAGTCAAAGTAATATCATATTTGAAATCTACATGTAAAATTACATCTAGAAATGTGGTTTTAAAAAGTGTTTATCAACTTTGAAAAATAAATTTTCTTTGAAAATGTGACTTCTAGCTCGGGGAGATTCCCCATAGACCCCATGCTATAAAATCACAAAAAATGAAATATCTTTTAAAATGAAATATCTTTTCTTTTAGTGGACAGATAATATTTTGCTTTACTTGACATATTTTCATTAGTATAAGTATCAGACACATAAGGGTTATATTAAAATTGAGCCACTTAAATTGATAATATTCAAGTTTAAAGATGCATTATGCCATAGGTTTCTCCCCCAGACAATCAATGATGTCCTATTGTTATTGCTCATATGATATCTCACATACCATGGATATATCTTGAGAATAACTTTTGGGTATATTATCTCCGAAATATCGGAAATAATCAACAGAACAACCAAACTCCAGAATTAAACACAATCGATTCCTTGGCTATTGAGGGGAATCCCCATTGAGTCACACAAGCACCCACAACCGCCTTGAACCTGGGAGCCAATCAGGTTTATGATAAACAAATTCAACTAGAAAAACAGCAACTCCACGGAGTAGCAAATCCCACCGAACGGCAGTTGAGTTACCAAAGATAACGAAAATGAAAATGAAAAATGGCAGCCATTCTGAAGATCAGCCTCCATCTTAAAATTTTTTTCTCGAACAGAGCTACTGTGTTTCTAGGCATCAGCATATAAAATTTGAACCAAATCTGTTCATTGGTATTTGACTTATCAAAGATTACGTTTTTTCTTATGAAAAATGGCTACCATTTTGAAATTCAGCCGCCATCTTGAAAAAATTTTCTCGAACAGATCTACTGTGTCCCTAGGAATCATCATATAAAAAATGAGGCAAATCTGTTCACTGGTATTTGAGTTATCAAAGATTACGTTTTTTACGAAAAATGGCGTCCATTTTGAAATTCAGCCGCCATCTTGAAAATTCTTTCTCGAACAGATCTCCTTTGTCCCTAGAAATCATCATATAAAATTTGAACCAAATCCATTCACTGGTATTTGAGTTACCAGAGATTACGTTTTTTTACGAAAAATGGCCGCCATTTTGAAATTCAGCGGCCATCTTGAAAATTGTAACTCGAACACAGAAGGGGAGAAACACCAGGGTTCAAAGATGACATACGCTTATAATGTAAATCTGTATTGAGATGACATTGTCGCTGATTGGTCAAAAGTCGACAAACAAATGACGTCATCAATGGCGGTTTCAAAATTTTCGAAATACGCTTCGAATAATATTATGTTCATTTCTGGCGTGTTAACCAATATCATAGCTTCTCATTTCACATCAAGATAAAGAAATGTGAACGGAGTATGCCTATATCAATTAAAACATCCCATCGAAGTGTAGTATTTGATAACTAGCCGATGAAAATTCGAACGAACGAAGGTGGTAAGCAAGAGAGGTAATTATGTCTGTCATCTTTAAACTCTGGGGCTTTCCCTCCTCTTACTCGAACAGATCTACTGTGTCCCTTGGCATCATCATATACAATTTGAACCAAATCCGTTCACTGGTATTTGAGTTATCAAAGATTAAGTTTTTTTAGGAAAAATGGCCGCCATTTTGAAATCTAGCCGCCATCTTGAAAATTTTTACTCGAACATATCAACTGTGCCCCTAGGCATCAGCATATAAAATTTGAACCAAATCCGCAAACTAGTATTTGAGTTATTAAAGATTACATTTTTTACGAAAAATGGGCCGCCATTTTGAATTCAGTGGCCATATTGAAAATTCCTTCTCGAGCAGAGGTCTTACACTCATAAGGCATAAGCCTATAAAATTTGAATCAAATCCGTGAAACGGTATTTGAGTTATCGCCCGGACAAACAGACGGACGGACGAACGGACGGACGGTCGGCTTTCCTATATCCCTCTCGAACTTCGTTCGGTGGGATAATGACCAATCAGATAACAGGAGGACTTTCCCGGAATATTCAAACTTCAGATTGAATTAATTTCTTCGAAAATAATTAGATCAGCCAGCACAATCGCAAAATTAACACTGAAAGAGGGGGATTTGGGACTTCTTCTTTGGTAAGTAGATGGGTATATATGTGGTGAAACTCAATATGCAAAAAAGTTCAGATGGGTCTTGATTGTGCTCTCCTATGGCATAGAGCCTCTTTAAGGGAACTTTCTTATATACCTGCCATGTTAATTGACCCGAATCAGCCACCTGGTGGTGAAACTGGTAACTACCTACTCGCATTTGGGTAATTCTGTTGTTTTGGGAAAGTTCAACATTTTTAAGATGATGAATGTCAAGTAATTAAATTTTCTTTCTGTGATATGAGTTACAGTAGGTAGTACATGGTACATGTATGTGAATATTTATCATATGATATCTTGCAGTAGAGAGCAATTCTTATTTCACATGTTTGCTGAAAAATGTATTAAACTGTGTGTTGAATCAAAGTAAAACATAGGTGAAGTCTATTGGCTCACTTATGCCACGATCGCACCCCCCAACCCCCCTCCCCCCTCCCCCGACTAAAAACTGAAAGCTGACTCGCCCCTGTAAAAGGATTGAATCATTAGGTCATTGAATGGGAGAGTAACAGATCATTATTTCAGTTCAACAATTATTATATTTCCTGACAGAGTTCACGTTCTGTTCAATCTAAAGCCATAAAGACAACACATTACTTATTAATTGGAAGCTAGGCATTTTTCTATGAAATGAATCTAATTGGAAAACATTAAGAGTTAATTCATCAGTAGGAAGATATAACTATTACCATAGCACTTCAATTCAAGGAGGTAGTTTTCAAATATTGCTGGTTTGGAAATGAAGTCACGTTACCCAGATTATTTCTGCAAATAACCTTTGCTAGAAATCCTACTTTTATCAGGTTTCATCGACTTTTTTTCCTTTTTACAGCTTTAATATTTTACATTTGATGTTTCTTATATTGCCTTTATTTTTCAAACATTTCCTCTGTATTTCTCCTTGGTCCTCACTATTTCAGGTATTTTCGTTCTAAAATGTGAATGAATATACAGTTTTTCTGTATAACTCAAAATGTTAAGTACATGTTTATTTTCTTTATTTCTTCCTGATTCCACTCTTTGTGCAATGACAATTTTCTCAAGGGTACAGTCTTTTAGTCTTTTGGCGATTATTCCTAGCATTTGATTGGTTGATTTATTGCTACTTGGCACAATTTTGTATTAATTCACCGACTAAGCAGCTTCACTAATTAGTTAATGCCAGTCGATGCACTTTCCTGGCGGTTATAACTTATCTCAATTAATTGATAATTGCTTAATATCTGACGATATCTTAGCAATAGGAAACATTGGAGAATAAGGACTTAACAGGCTGACTAAAGAGTAATATTAAAACATTATTTTCGCTGTCTAAGACATAAATGAATTCAAAGCAAATTGGCTCTAGATTAGACTGGATAAAAAAAGAAAAAAGAAAAGTAGAAAGGAGAAAAAAGAAAAAAAATTAAAACATGTTTATCAAGAGAGTTTTGGAATAAATACACATTATCATTGATGGAAAAAAGACATAACATTTTCTTGGTATTAAAACAAAAGTGAAGTTACTGTGAAACAACTCTTGATCAGTGGTACAATGCTCTGATAGAGAATAAGAAACCAACAAACAGCATACAACTTTAAAACTTTACGAAATATTTTGTTTGGTTCGTAAGCATCATTTTCAAAATGGACAGACAAAATATGGCACAAAACATTTCAAACATAACAGGCAACAAGTGTAATTTTGAAAGAGCGACTTTCATGATCATCGTCCAAATCTGGTTTGTGGGATTTTTGATTATGCTTGGGACAATTGGAAATATAATTTCATTTATCGTGCTTCACAAAAAGGAGCCCGCAACTACAAACATTCTACTTCAAGGTTTAGCGATCACAGACACCCTTTACTTGTGGTCAGCCTTATTCAGTCGATTACTTCCCTCGATATACAGATATACAAATGATTTGAATGATGAGTTTTGGTTGGAAATCAGGCCTTACTCTGTTCCTATTGCATCAACTGCATTAACAGCCTCAAACTGGATGGTTGTTGTGGTTACAATAGACAGGTACAATTATTCACATTAAATAAATTTTGGTTGAAGAAAATGTGAATAAAATTAGTCTTACCTTAAAAAAATATTCTTTTTCCTGTGACATATATGTACATCACATCCATCGTGAATAAAAACCATAGCATTACATCATTGCTATACATTATATATTAAAGGCAAGCATAAATATTGAGACATTGAAAATTAAAATATTTGATTTTGAAGAAAAATTCCACATCAGGTGTCCGCTTTAAATTTTGAGAGGTACAAATCTGAATAGGATGTTTTAAGGATGTTTATCGACTTATACTGTAGAAGTCACAAGCAAGAATCATTAAATGAGGTGATTTGCAGTTTGAACTGCACATAATTGCTGAATAATTTATTCTGAGTCGAAGCAATCTGCGCAAGATTCGGTTTCTACTTGGTTCGGTTTTTCATTAAAGGAGGTACTTCATTCCCATGATTCAAAGTGCTTTTCTGCCATCGGTTCGGTTTAAGTTTGTACAACACAAATCTACAAATCCAGGGCAGGTTGATATTATGTCATTACATTTGTTTTGGGTGTATACTTTTTGTCTTAACAATAAACAAAAATATTCCCGCAATATATGGTGCATTATGGGTAGGAACTGCTGTGAAATAATGAACGCACATGACATCTATCTCAAATTAAATGTTCTTATTAAGTTATTAATTGTGCATGCGTTATAATAATTTGAACCAATTAAATTGCTGGATTTAGTGTGCATGGGCTAAAATCCAAACCAAACCAAATCAAAAAATGGAATCTCTCGCAGATTGCCTCTCATGTTTATTTTTCAATTCGTGTTGTTTGTGTTTATCCAAGGTAGAAATATTTGTAAAATTAAAACTGTATCTCAGAAAATCTTCAAATTTGTTATTTTTTCCAGATACATCTATATATGCCACCCATTGAAGGCAGAACGTTGGTGCACATTCCATCGTGCTAGGCTTGCTCCGATATTTGTTTGGCTTTTTGCTATTATCTACACATTCCCAAGATTTTTCGAGCTGACAATTGCCTGGAAAAAGGACTTCTGTCGAGATGTGATGATACTAATGCTTGGACGTGATTGGCTCGGGAAGCAACCACTGTATAACATCATTTACAAAATCAGTATCAATTTTGTATTGAGACTTGCTATACCAGTCATAACAATCATAACTCTGAATGCAAAACTCATAATTGAAATTCACCGTTCTAACAGAACATGTCCAGATTGCATCAGTTCCATAAGCTCAACATGTGAGAGTGGCAACTGTGCCAGAAATATAAGATTAGAAATGAAACGCAAGAAAAGCCATGAAAACAGCATCACCAGGGTCTTAATCGCAATTTGTGTGATCTTCATGCTCTGCCTTGTTCCAGTTTTTATATCAACAATTATTAACTTTATCAAATTAACACATATCAAAACTGACAAATTCATCCAGGCTCATAATTATATTGTGGTGACTGCAAATACACTTTCAACATTTAACAGTGCTGTTAATTTTCTAATATATTGTTGTTATGGAAAAGAGTTCCGTAAAGTTTTGAAGAGAATGATTTTATGTCAAGGAGGTAAAACTTCACACTCTGTAACATCCAAGACAATTCAAACTAACAATCATTGAAAAATATGTGTACCTATAGATAAAAGATATAGTCTCTGGATTATGTTATTATAAAATACTGGATGAAAACAGTATATTTATTATTATTATTTTATTTATTTATTTATTCAGAACTACGCTTTACATGTATCACATGTAACTTCAAATGGGAATGAAATACTGGATCAGGGTGCAACAGAAGTACTGGGCAAAGTACATGGACTCAATTAGTTTTAATGACAGCCATGTTTACTGATGGTATATGGGGAGAACAGGATATGGTATACAAAGTGAAATTTGGTTATGGCATGCATCAAATAAGTTTCTTTCCTTTAGACATTATGAATAATGAATTGTCATTAATAAGGTTATCAATGTCATACACAGTTTGAAAACCTTTACATGTGTGTCAAAATAAAAAAATAATACCAACAATACTTAACATGTTTTAGCCCAGAAGTCAATGAATTGTAGATGAGATTAAACACAAGGATCTTGAATGACTTTGAATGAGGACTAGCATACAAGTGCATTAAACCACTCATAATTTTCCAAGTCATGTAGTTTAACTATTTTCAAACATATCAAAAGATTTTGTACAATATAAATAGAAATGTAATTCAACCAGAAACATTTTTGAACTGAATAAGCACCTATGATACTACATGTATTTTTAATTTTTCTTTCAATGGTCAACTTGAAATTGCTGACTGTTGCAAGGAGGATTGGCTCCCAGGATCGAAACTCGATATTTTCCAACAATGAAAACGTCGAAATGTCGTTATTTTCTGAAATTAAAACCGACTATAAATTCAAAATAAACAGTTCAAAAGATTCGAACCAATATCTCGATCATTTCTTGTGAGTTTTGGAATTTTTCGTTTGGAAATAAGACCAAAATTCACGATTTAAATGTTGAAGTGAACAAAATGGCGGCTGTTTGAATTCGAATTTTGTATTACGACATACCCATATATGGGACAGAATATCGGTGGTGCACTCTGGGAGCCAATCCTCCTTGTGACTGTTGCAAATAATAGAATATTGTATTCTATGCTGTGTTCTGATTGGTTAGAATATGTACAAATATGTTTGAATAATACAACATGAATTATTTTGTTTTAAAATGAAATGTCACCAGCTAATTGCTCGCAATATTATGAATCTTTTTTCACCTGGAGAATGTCACTAAAGGTCAAATCTCAAATCTTTAGTCAGATTTGACATTCTGAAAACTTGTAAAAATTTGGTCAATTTGAAGCTTGAGAAGGTCATTGAACGTCAATTCTCAAATCTATAGTGAGATTTGAGCTTTTGAGAACCTGCAGATGATTTTGAAAATAAATTGGTCAATTTGAAGCAGGTTGAAAAAATAGCATTTTGACCAAGAGAATGTCATTGAAGGTGAAATCTCGAATCTAAAGTCAGATTCCACGGTTCTCACCAGGAAATTTTTAGACCCCGGATTTTTAGCGGTATTGTGACTACTTTTTTCGCGGTATCGCGACTACTTCTCCCCCGTGTGAGATCAGAGATATCCTATCCGTAGATCAACATACTTCTTAAGATTATCTTGCTATTTTAATCCCAATTTTTATTTCTAAAAGGTTTTACAGTGATCAAAAAATGACGAAATTTTGATCACCACTACGAGCGCTGATCACGATCGCACTGTACGAAATAATGACTCCAGGTGCAGTATATCTATCTAATAATAATGTAACCACTGAACATCAATGTAGAAAGCTTGAGTCGTTTATTTGGAGAACTTGCATGGCTGTACTTTTTCGTCCGCGCGATTGTAAAAATTGTATGCTTTTAATGTACTTTCCAGTTTGCTACATTTATAAAATATACGATTTGACATTTGATTTTTCATAGTCATATTTTCACCTTGGGACCACTTTTTTTCATTTATAAATGAATATAATTTGAATGTACATATTCAAAAACTAGGAACTCTAAATCGCAATCGTATCGTTTTAGGTTTTTAAAATACTGCTTTAGTTTTGAAATACGACTGTGTAAACACAAAGGTTGGACAATATTTACTGCGAGCGTCGTCTGATTTCACTTGAGAAAAGCATTGCCGAATGAGTAATGTTTACGCACCCACTGCTCAGTACACTTAGATCATAGAATTAAAAAATAAAAAACCTCCAAATCTTCATTTTAAAACTATTCAAAAATCCGTTCACATTAGGTTATTGAATTGTCCGTCTAAAGTTTACGCTATACACTGAACCGTTCAATCGTCAAAGGTTGATTTCTGACGGCAAGCGCAGTTCATTCCTCAATATTTAGACATGATAAAACATAAATTACAATAAAAGTATGGATGTGAAATTAATTATCGAAATACTTACATTTATACTGATTACTGTCATAAAATTATTTTCGAAATCCGCCCAGAAACAGTGGTGTAAAACGACATATCCTGCGACCAACCTTAACATGTCTGTTTGACGCAAAAACTTTGCAATCGCAATAGTTTCAAGGTTATTTACAGAAAGATGACAGAAAAAAGTTGACACCATAGCAACTTAAAATTTAAATAAACATTAAGTAAGAGTCCCCCTAGTATCACCATTGAAAAAAATCAGGAAATTCTGATAATTTTAAGTATTTCTATTCTGTTCTCCAAGAAAACGTGTTTTTCAAGAAAACGTGTTTTTCAAAAAAACATAGATCAAGAGTGTATGGATTTTCTATTTAAAAGCGATTCCTGGGTACTTGATCAAAATAATGTCACTATTTGATCACTGTGTTCTGACTTCCTATTCCTTGTTTGTATCCAATTTTATGTATTTTCTCAAGAGTTTTACCATAAATAATGTGACAAAAATGTAAAATTAGACTCCTGAAAAAAAACTTTAGACTCCAGAAAAGCAATTAGACTCTGGAGCAAGAGGGTTTTAAGACATTAGACTCTGGAGGATCTCCGGAGTCTAAAAGTCTAGTGAGAGGTGGATTTTGAAAATTTGGTCAATTTGAAGCAAGTTGAAAAAATACCTTTTGGACATTTTTATTTAACCTTGAGAAGGTCATCTAAAGTCAAATTTGAACTTTTGAGAACTTGTAGCTGATTTTGAAAAAAACTGGTCAATTTGAAGCAAGTTGAAAAATATGACATTATGACCTTTTTTTACCTTAAGAAGGTCACGGACGGTGAATCTCAAATCTAAAGTCAGATTTGAACTTCTGAGAACTTGTAGATGATTTTGAAAAAACAATTGATCAATTTGAAACAAGTTGAAAAAAGGACCTTTTGACCTTTATTAACCTTTTTGGCCTTGAGAAGGTCAAATCTTAAATCTAAAGTCAGTTTTGAACTTTGGAAAACTGATAGATGATTTTGAAAAAAATTGAAGTCAGTCTAAACAGTATTTGTTAAGTTATTGGAAGTTGAAATTTGTTACAGACACCAATCGCCAACCACCAGCTACCAACCACCACCCGCCGATCACCAACCGCCGTCACAAAAAACAAAGACCATAACAATGTGGTGACATAATAACTATTGACTATTATAACATTTTTGTTCATGTACAACAGTGAAAACGGAATATTGGTAAAATATGAAAAGGATACTTAAGACTGTTTTTTATTTTGTTCACAACCATTATATATTTAGTATATATTTAGTGAGCAATTCCGTGTTGTATGATCCATGATTAAAGGAATATTCCTTGCCAAATCATCTCTCTCCTCATATGGTAGCTATAACCTTGCCATGTTTAGCAAAACACACAAAAATGTTTTGATATGGTCAAATTTGATCACTTAGAAATGTGATGCTCAATTCCAGTAAGCTGCCATCTTTTAAAATTTCACACAGGAAGTGATGTCATCGACTCTCAACTTTGCATATAGCATTAGGTGAGGAGCTATCAAGAATTACAAAACCAGCTAAATATTCTTTTTCAACTTTGTATCTTATTTAATCCTTCTGAAAATCTCTTCTTTTATTCTAAGTTGACAGGCCCTGAAAATATTTTTGCACAGAAAGTAATGAACACTTGTCTAGAAGTGATATTGTGCTAATTTCCTATACTGTTATGGGCAAGGTAAGAGGAGGGAAAGCCCCAGAGTTTAAAGATGACAGACATAGTTACCTCTCTTGCTTACCACCTTCGTTCGTTCGAATTTTCATCGGCTAGTTATCAAATACTACACTTCGATGGGATGTTTTAATTGATATAGGCATAATCTGTACACCTTTCTTTATCTTGATGTGAAATGAGAAGCTATGATATTGGTTAACACGCCAGAAATGAACATAATATTATTCGTAGCGTATTTCGAAAAATTTAAAACCGCCATTGATGACGTTATTTGTTTTTCGACTTTTGACCAATCAGCGACGATGTCATCTCAATTCAGATTTACATTATAAGCGTATGTCATCTTTGAACCCTGGTGTTTCTCCCCCTCTGGGGCAAGGTTATAGAAGTTGAGAGTTGATGACATCACTTCCTGCAAGAAATCTTAAAAGATGGCAGCTCACTGGAAATAAGCACTAGATTTTTAAATGATCAATATTGACCATATTAAAACATTTTCCCATGTTTTGCTAAATGTGGAAATTATATATATATGATTATAGCTACCATATCAAGAGAGAAAGGGTCTGGCAAGGAATATTCCTTAAAGTATTTAACATTGGAAGACAAACCAAACCAAGAGACCCCTCTATGGGGCATTGTGTCAGTTTGTACATTTCTAAAAAATGTTTGGCATTTCCACCTTGTTGGATTATTTGGGGCTATTTCTGGTAAAAAACACCTGCACCATTTTTAAGTGCTGTTTGATTATTTCCGGACTGCTTCTGGTGTCTAATAGGCCTGCTTTCAAGTGAGTCAGAAATAACCCTGGTGATCAGCTCGATTATACTGGTTACCGTAACGGTTACGTATCAATAGTGAGGTATTAAATTGACAATTATGTTGTGTAGTGAACTATTTGTTCGCAAACATGTATATTTTCTTAAACATGTGATACTGATACACGTTTGTGATAAAAAATGTTGTGGGAATTCTGCCTACAACGCTTGAAAAGGGGAAAAAAGAAAAATCATAACTTCGAGGTTCCAACATTTTGTTACTGAAATGAAACGTTTTGGAAACCAGCATAATCAAGTGGATCACCAGTGTAAATTCATTTGAAATATACAGGGAAAGTGTTACAGGAATGACTAGAGCTAAACACTTCAGGTAAGGGTTGTATATGCAAATATGGCCATCTTGATCTTCTTAATTTATATTGATTGTCCTAACTTTTTTCCTATTAGTTTACCCCAAATCAGAGCCAGAAAAGGGCATATAGAAGGACCAGAATTTCTGATCATATTTCATTTGCATGAGATATCTTGGAATAGACGATACAGTAGACTCACAATAATTGTTTGGTTTGGCTGATGTCCTTGTGCTTCCTGCTGCTGGTTTTGTTCATTCTGCTGTTCCTCTGGCTGCTGTTGATTGTCATCTGTATCAGCCATGATGTCCTTTGCCTAAAAACATGAATACATGAAAATTGTACATGCTTTTTTGGGTAAGCTGGTTTTAACATGATGAGTATCAGTTTGATGTTAATTTTGAACACTAAAGAATTGTGAGAGTGAGAATTGTGATTGTGAGAGTCAGCTTGAACTCTTTTAAGTTTGAACTCTAAAGAACATTGTGAGAGACAACTTGAACTCTTTTAAGTTTGAACTCTAAAGAACATTGTGAGAGTCAACTTGAACTCTTTTAAGTTTGAACTCTAAAGAACATTGTGAGAGTCAACTTGAACTCTTTTAAGTTTGAACTCTAAAAAAAATAGTGAGAGTCAGCTTGAACTCTTTTAAGTTTGAACTCTAAACATCATTGTGAGAGTCAACTTGAACTCTTTTAAGTTTGAACTCTAAAGAACATTGTGAGAGTCAACTTGAACTCTTTTAAATTTGAACTCTAAAGAACATTGTGAGAGTCAACTTGAACTCTTAAGTTTGAACTCTAAAGAACATTGTGAGAGTCAACTTGAACTCTTTTAAGTTTGAACTCTAAAGAACATTGTGAGAGTCAACTTGAACTCTTTTAAGTTTGAACACTAAAGAACATTGTGAGAGTCAAATTAAGTTTAAACTCTAAAGAACATTGTGAGAGTTAACTCTAGAGTTTGATCTCTTAAAACATTGGAATGAAGTTTTGACCTATTATTGTGTAGATACAAAGGAAATTAGCAGAAAATTTTAAACCTAAAGGTAGCGTTTCAGTGAAAAATGCTTTTAAAATAAAGTTAAACCTCAAAACAGGCTTGTAAGGGGGGAAACACTTTTTTTGAAGGGACATACTTTTTAAAAAAATTGCTTCCTTTGGACTCACAAATTTTCAAACCTAATGCAAGCTCAGGCTGAGCCATTAGGGCCAGCTACTACAGCTGAGCTGTAGTAGCACATGATTGGTATCCAGGGTCTTTACACCATCCCCCAAAGGATGACGCCTATTTTCACCCAGGCCAGGATTACACATGGGTGAATCCTACATCTAACACCAATGTAACAACCCGAGGGCGAGGACACCTCTTGGGAGCCAGATACAGACATGAAAGGAAGTGTGCTAAAAATACGTCAAGCGGGAACTAAATCCTGAACATTCCGCTTCAAAATCTGATGGTGACCTATAATGGCTACAATGTAGTCACAACAGCTGATCTCAAGTAGCTTACCTTCTTCCAACTTGCTATCCAGGGTCATTATAGTGCTGATATATAATAATTAAGGGTGCGTTTTACATGTCGTTACAGATGTGAATACATCATTCAGTTTCCTTATTTTCGTGGTTAGGTCTTTTTAAATCTAGCAAGGAGGATTAGATCCTAGAATACAATATCAATATTTTCCAACAATGAATCTAATCTTCAATGAAGGATGTTGTGATAACAAAATTCAAAATCAACTGGCCAACCATTTTTTCACTTCAGAGTTTCGGTCTTATTTACGAACAAAAAATATCAAAACTCACAAGAAGTGAATTGAATATTAGATCAAATGATTTGGATTGCTATCATGAATTTACACTTAGTTATTGCCATGATTAGATTCTACCACATCATCTTCATTATCATTTCTGCTGGAATATTGTCATTCTCAAATTGAAATATACAATTAGCACTTCCGCATTACTTGGAGATTAAAAAATATTGAGTTGAAACCCTGGGTTCCAATCCTACTTGTAAGTCTAGAGTACATTCATTTTCACATGCCAATAGAACATGTATGGAATAAAATCCAATAAAAATAACTTCTATTATCGCCCACGGCAGAATTTTCTGGAATTATTATCGACTTCTCTAAAGTAATTCAATCCACTGCAACTGTTGTAGATGATCAATGTGATAATCTTTATTTATTCCAAGCATTAAACGAGCATTCATAGTTGGGACTTACCTAGAATTTCTGGAATTATTCGGAAAAGTGATCGCTTTTATTTTTTGGATTTTTATCCTTGCTCTGCGAGATTTCTGGGCGATAGCTCTACTGCACTATTTCACGTATTCTCAGATTGAGACAATTCACGGCACTACACTGTGCTTGCATATCAAAACAGTTATTGTGGGAATCGATATAAATATATCAGTATCAATTGCAAAACAATTTAATATTTAACACAAATTTTGTTATCTTATTCTAAAATTGAATGACCAAATGTCACTGAAAGCAACTGATCGCATGAACAGTAACATTGCTCATAATGTACATGTACATGTCATTTGTATATTTTTGTAGCTCACAAATGATGTATTATCATTGATGTCATATTTCATGTTCATTGTGGTTGTATACAGATGCTATTTTATAGATTTTACGATATCAGTCCTATTCTCCTGAAATATATCATTTAATTTCATCAACTAAATGGATATCAATGATATTGTCTCTTTTGATACACGGTCTAAGGTTCATTATTGAACATTGGCAGAAAAGCTGAAATTTTGGTGAAATGAAATGGCCACCTAGGATATTGCAAACAATTTCAAATGGTTATACATGTATTATAATTATATCTCGAACCATGACTATTTCCTGACTATGAAGACAGGTATATATTTTAGAGGCCTATATCATTTTACAATGTTTAATGCATAGTCACAAATAGCTTTGAGACATGTTTTACTTCTAAAAAAGTAAACTGCTGCTGGGAATTCAAAGATATTGAATTCGGATGACCAAAATGAGCTGAAATCAATAGATAGCATGAGTTTTCTATATGGAAAATAACATGGGGAACATTAAACTCATTTTTCATCTCAAAAATTAATTGATGCATCTAAATTAAATAAAATAAATAATACTTATGCATAAACATTGTAGAGAGATTCCCTTTTTGGTGAAAATGAGGTCATTGTCATTGAAAAAGTATGTCAATGGGTTGATTGCACCCAACCCTCAAATTGACTTAGGCTAATTATCATTGTATCAATACATCTTTTCTTTGAGATCATGAATAGATCGATACAGGGCGTTCAATAAGTATTGATAATTTTGCTATAACTTTTTGTTCTGTTTACTTCTTCATGGAACTTTCACAACATAAGGTATATATATCTGACTTTAACCAATAAAAAATTCAAGTCGATTGAATTACTAAGGTAACCAGTGTCATGGATATGTGGGGCAAAGTTCTGACGTCACTTTGGACGAAATTTTGAGTATTGAAAGCAGTATCATGTAATACTCTTGGGATATTCAGTGCAGTTACAAATAATCCATTCCAGAGTCACTTCAAGATCCATTTTCATTATTCGAGTCTCTAGCCGATAAAGTGGCCTTAGAAGAAGGTAACATTTTCACTTCATCAGGTGCTCAAAAGAGGCACCCTCAGCGTCAATACAAAGTTGCTGTCTGGGAACCCACTCGTGGTACACATTTTTGAAGACATCTTTGAAGTGTGTGGCGAGGGAGGTGGTCACTGCAGACATCAGCTGATTGAGATTCTGGTGTGATATTCCTCTCAGATCTCTTTTCACTGGGGCGAATACAGCAAAATCAAGTGGGAGATTATCTGGGGAATACCCTGCGTTGGCCAATGCTTCCATACCAAGCTCTGTTATTGTATTTTCGACAATAGAGGATCTGCGAGCAGGCCATTATCCTGGTGGAACCTATAGGTCGATATTGCTTGGCAGGACAGCCTTTCTATCAGCCGTTTTGTTTCAATGGGGTATATGACATGATCATACTCCTTTGATAATTAATAATGTACTATACATATTGTGATGTCATAGGTCGTTGTTAGATAATACATATAATTCAAACTGACAACATCAAGAGTTGACCATATGAGCAGTTTTTATTAATCAAAGTGTTTATTTGACGTATGACAATAATTTATCATGTAAACCCTTAAGGTTGCCCCGCGTATCCGTGACAAGGGTTACTATAGTAACCATAACTTTGTCAATACCAAGTAGGTTGTCCGGAAATTTGGATAGGATAAGGTCAGATGTGTGCTCCTTAGGTTGTGCAAGTTTTAAAAAGAAAAAAGCAAGATAACAGAAGTTATTATAAAATTAGCAATACTTATTTAACTTATTTAACCTATTACCGACGCGCATTGTTAGCTTACCACAAAAGTTTTCATGGGTGAGTTGTGAATTTAAGACGAAAAAGTACAATAATGACGCACAACTAATATAAAAAAAATGCACGTATTCAAGTACGAGTAAAAGGTATGCTATTCTCATGATCAGAAAATAGTTATAAACCAAGATATTATGTAACTATCTGAAATTGTTTGCGATAAACTTCATGTCTTTTTTCTAAAAAAAATATGAAAAGGATGTTCAGAAAAATTAAAAAATACCTTGACTGGTTGGAGTCCGCACATTATATCGAAAGTCCGAACCTATTACCGACGCGCATTGTTAGCTTACCACAAAGTTTTCATGGGTGAGTTGTAACGTAGGCTATACATCTGCTTAATTGTAACCTTTAAGAGAAAAGGGGATTTTTAGACTCGCCAAAGAGAAGCTGACGCCTGGAAGCCGCAAACGACTCAACCAATTTAAGACGAAAAAGTAAAATAATGACGCACAACTAATATCAAAGAAAATGCACGTATTCAAGTACGAGAATAATACCAAAATTCAAAACTACGCAAATCAATATATGTTGGAACACCTATGTTTGTCATTATCTAAGAAATACAGTATATATATGTATATACAGTGCGTATAAAAAAAACGCAACAGATTGTTATCTTGGAAAAGCACAAAACCAGTGATAACAGTATTGGGGCATAGGGGCTATTGGAAGAAGGTGTTACAGGTATGGCATAGACAGTAAAGTGTTCATACTCATACTCTTGCAAGAATACATCCTACACCCCTCCAAATTGCCACCACTTCCTTTCACATAAAGATGCGCTCATCTGTCCACGTCATGCATGGTTCAGCCCTGAATCATTTGTGGGTTTAAGCAAAGAAAAGCAGCCCATGAGCAAATCTTTCTCGAGGTTTTGTAATATCTGGTGGAGGAATTGTAAGCACAGATGCTCCTGAGATAGCTCCAAAAGAAAAAGTCACAACAATTCAAGTCAGGGGAACTTCCATTGGCACTCAGCCCTTGCACTGACTTTTTCAATATCTAAAACTTGGTGCAGAGCCGATTTTGACCCACTGTGCAAATGAAAGGATTTCTCACCCAACCATTACCACATGTGAATGAATGACATATCATTGTAAAGAGGAGAGACATGGCTTTATGGTACATTTAAATGAAATTGATGTAGTCATCACTAGTTTTGTGATTTTACGAGATAACTACTTGTTGCGTTTTTTTATACGCCCTGTACACTGGTGATCCACTCGATTACGCTGGTTACCAAAACGGTTCGTTTTGGTAACAAAATGTCGGAACATCCGGAAGGTACGATTTTTCTCGTTTCCTTATTTTACACGTTGTAGGCAGAATTCCCACGACATTTTTTAACACAAACGTGTATCAGTATCATAAGTTAAAGAAAGTGTACATATTTGCGAACAAATAGTTCAGAAGACAACAGAATCGTCGATTTACTTCCTCATTTAAGTTACATAAACGGTTTGGGTTAAAAGTGCAGATCTTAACTGTTTTTCGAAAAACCGTTTCTGTAACTTAAGTGAGGAAGTAAATCGACGATTCTGTTGTCCTCTGAGCTATTTTTTAGCAAACATGTACATTTTCTAAAACATATGATACTGATGCACGTTGTGAGAAAAAACGTCGTGGGGATTCTGCCTACAACGCGTGAAATAAGGAAAAAAGAAAAATCGTGCCTTCGACGTTCCGACATTTTGTTACCAAAACGGTTCGTTTTGGTAACCAGCGTAATCGAGTGGATCACCAGTGCTGTATATACTATCTAATTCCAAAAATGCTCAGCTGATTGTTGACTTAATAATTTTGTATAACTTTGTAAATTCTGAAGAAACGTATCAATTTTTTGTTAAATAAAGTTAGAAAATTCAATTGCCTACCTAATTTATCATCAATTTTCGACCTATTGTGATAGAGGAAAGAATTAAGAAAATTTGGAGGTATTGGAAATAAAGTCAAGTTACGTTTCCATTAATAGTATACAGTGGCACATTGCCTTTAGTCCTACCCATCAGCTTTATGACGTGCATCTTTACAACGGGAATTTCAAGTTTTTGTCAGTGTAGACATAAAAAGTTGCTGTCCTCATACTCGTGCAGTTTTTGATATTTTTGATATTTTCATTGAAACTCGCAAGAAAACGGTGCTTTGAATCGAGCTCTCTACTCTTTCAAAACGTCATGTATAATCAAGACAGTTGAACTATTTATTTTTTGTCGTGAAAATATTATTTTTTTAGTTTATTTTTATTTTACAACTTTTTGGGAAAAAATGTAACAAATTTTTATTTCTCGTCATATTTATCCGATATTTTGTCATCATGAAATTCGAGATTCCTTGTAATGATTATTTTGAAATCAAATGTAATGCATTGAGTTGGTTAGATGATGAAATATTATCGCGAACTGACAACATTACGTACAGATTTATGATTTGAAATAGCTAGCCACACATACATGTACAGCACACAAAATCGAATAAAATGTTCAGGGTCTGGGAAATTAAGTGTTACGCAAAGGAATATTTTAGCAGGCTAACATTACGCACAGCTTTTGTTATGATATGAAATAGACTAAATAGCTATGTACTATTGGAAAGCTTAGCTCGTCTTCTACAGCCTGTTTTGTCCCAGAATTGAATAAATCATTCAGGGTCTGAGAAATTAAACGACACGCAATTACCTTAAATAAATAAGTGACATATTTTCGCAGACTAACATTATGTACTAATTATAATTTCTTAGTGCCTGAATTTTGGAGAACTACCTCAGTACCCGAAGCATGCTTATCTGCTTGATTAGCCTGGATGCTCGACTTGGGCTTTGATTTTAGTGTGTTTGCAGTTTTAAGTTTCCCTTCCGTGATGATGCCTATACTATACTAGTATCCTGTCGCTATTTCTTGTCTAATCTTCCTAAAATGTGGATGATTTTCAACAATACTTACTATGAATATTATTCTACTCTTATCATACACCTTCCATTAGAAGCCTTTTTACATCACAAAATATGGTGTCGGTATAGTTTTCGGTACGACGCGCATCCGTATATCGGCGCGTCGCTATAATTCTTTTTTATTGTAAAATGTTCATCCACAATCATCCATATATATGACTGCACTGATCTATTTATTGTCCTCATAACCATGGGATTGTTTGCCAAATAACGGGGAGAATAATTACTCAAAATTAACAATACTGTATTGTTAATGGAAACTAAAAACTGTTTTTACATAGAAATAGGCTATAATTTATTTTATTTCGTACAAATGTATGATCACAGTACATGTATGTTTTTTTTGTATTTTTACAATCACTGTAGGATTTTTATGATATATTGTTAGTCCCATATTTGGATTCATAACATCTATGTACATATATAGGCTTTGATAGCATGGCTATACAATTCATCATATATTTTAAGTAAGAATCAGAAGAGTCAGATCAAATTTCTAAAAATTGAAAATGATGTTTAGACTATTTTCGTCTCAAACACCAATCTGTGTAGTATCTATTTCCTAACAATCCAAAAAGTTATACTCAAGGAATATACAGTTCAGAGATTTTACATTTAGAGTTTTTTATTTTTCTATAAATGTGGATATCCACATTTATTATCTGAAACAATCAACTTGTAAATACTCAGCCCAATTTGATGAGAAACCATTGCTTTTCAAAGACTAGATAGAACATTTTGATCTGTTACTTGCAATGTTGGTGAGTTCTCTCAAACTCTTTTTCTACCTCAAAATAAGAAGCCTCAAATCCATGGTGGAATCTTTATTTGGTACCAGAGCCATGTTACTTTATGTCAATGCATTTGGATCAACCATGTCCCTTGTCTCTTTTACAATTTGTTCTGGTGATGGGGGGGGGGGTGTTTGGATAGACTCCTCATCATAAAATTACTTATCCATGCCATGGGCAACCAGCTTAGGCAACTGTATTCAAAGCCAATTGTAAAGTTTATCACGCCTGTAGGGGTTGTCTCATGTCTTTTGGTCTATTTAATTGTTGAACATTAATTTCTTTAAATTGCACAGTACTTTCCCTGGTTGGGCTATTAATACCTGGAAATAAAAAAAATAAAGAAGTTTTAATTATATGATATATTGGAATGCGACCTTTAATATTGATTATGTAAACTTCATCTTTGGTAAAACTCAACAAAATTGGATATGAAATCTCATTTGAATTCTGTGATGACCAGAATTAGAAGCATGACCTTTTACTTATATGATTCATAACAATGGTTCTTTCAATTGACCTTTATTCTGCTGACTGTCATTTGTACTACATGTTTCAATCTAAATGAAAATACATTGCTTACTTTTTGGTGTTTTCATTCCATTCTTGGGTGTCTTGTTTCCCAGGCTGCTGCTTGTGTATGAAGGTTCAGGGGGTGGGGGGATTCTAGTGGCAAGCTCCCCGAGGGTAGGCTTGATGTTAAATCTTTCAGGGGCCTCCATTCTCTCATGTCGTCTGTTCTCTATATGATCATTTATTATATGTTGAGACTGTAAAGGAAAAGATAATTGATGTACATGTACATATTTCTTTAAGGTACACACTTTAAGTTTGGTCATTCACCAATTTTGCACAAGATCTGACGATCTATTGCCTGTTTAAATCTCCATCAATAGCCAGCAATCTGCCAATATAAAAAACATTGTAAATAAACAAAGTTAAAAAAATACAAAATTAAACCAATTCTATTTAATATTTATCAATTTTGTGAGCAGTCAATGATGTTAAAGGTGCACATTTTGATCTATTTTAATCACGATGTTTACTGGAACAATTCCTTTCATGAAAGCTTTTCTGCAGGGTGTCCACAAAAAAGTATACCCAACTTAAAAGCCAGGATACCAGATTTCTGAGCAATTTTCAAAAAATTCAAAGGTAGCAGTATAAGGGCTACTTTGTCTTCCATCAAATGGTACCTAGATCATTATGTGACTGTCGTGGATGACTAAGAAATTATGACCATTATGAGAGGTGGTAAAATCAGCACTGTGCCAAGTTAGCATTCAAGCGAATGACATAGTGAATGTTTTTTTTGTGTTCAAAACATTATTAATGTTCAAATTCAAACTTGTGCCATGTTCTTTGCTTTGAAGTTGGGTATACTTTTTGAGGCCTATGGTACATTGCTTTCAGGCTTTATAATATTATAATACAAAAAACTCCTGTTACAGATATTTCTTCAAACTTTCTAATCAAACCCAAATAACAACTGCAAATATATAAAACAAAAAAACTATGTGTACCTGTACTTGGCCTAGTAATAAACAAATCGTTACATACTGTATACGCCTTGTTAATTGACATTGTATAGATTCAAAGAAAATGAAAACGCCTTACTTTTTGTTGGCTCAGTATAATGCTGCCATCAGCCATTATTTCTGTAGTTTTGAGATTATTCTTTACTGCCTGGGAAGCTGTTGACCTTGCATGCATAGGAAGCTTAGCCTGGTAAGCTCTGTCTGTGAAATCTATCTCATGCTCTGGATTCATTTTCTTAACCCTATTATAAATTATTAATTGCAAATTTTACAAAGATTGCAAAAGATCAAAATATTGAACATGAATATACATGTAAACCTGCAAATTGTAAATCATATGTTGACTGAATAAAATCAATCTTTCATGTTATTGTAAAGAAGCCAAACAGATAATGTATTATTCGCGGTAGTATCTCTTCGGGACGTATCGAAACCACTCCGACCCGAAAAACCGTTAATTTGAATTTAAAACCTACCCCAGTGTTTGAAAATCAAGGATTGTGAGTCTCACACTTCACCGTTTTTCTTCATACTTGTTCCGTACAAAGCTTCACAGAAATACCTTTCAGTCGATACATTGTTTTCGTGTACAAAGTACCTCGTTTTAGCGGCGTTTTAGTCCCCAGCTGTGAGATAAAGCAAATTTTCATAACTTTCAACTGTAAGTCAAGTTATCTCGCCAGTCTTTTACCCATTCTCGCCCATAATTTCAGAATGGACTCCCATTACAACCTTCCATCGCTACGTCTTGATTTTTGGGCATCAAACGCAGCAGTTTCTAAATCATCCACACATCTCTTCAAATTTGACCAATACGTCCCGTCATCTTCCACTACGCCCCGCCGAGTCTATCACTATACACGTAGAGTTGCATTCTAAAACAATTTGTCCATCGATGTGTCCGTTTGTAGGTTGCCATTGTCGATTCTAAATACCAATCGGATTGTGTTTTAAGATTTACCCATTCTTGTCCATTTTCAATATACCTATAATAGGGTGGTCCAAAATCTCCCTAAAATTTAGATTTCCCGATATTGCAATATAAAGATTTTAATTACTGAACAATTGAAAATATTTTTAAGAAACGTTTAAAGTGCCCTATCCTTGAAAAAATGTTAAAATGCGAAAGGATGGGTGATGTCAATTATATTATTTTCAGCATAACGTTAGAAACATGTATCATTTTATATGGTACACGTTTCACAATGTAATCCAATGGAATCATACAGAAGAAAGGTTGACAAACAACAGTTAAAATCTTTATATTACATTATCAGACCAAGTCAGTAAATGTTGTTTATATACCAATTAGTGTTGTATGATGATGCATTCTTTATATGAATCTAGAAACGTTTTTGTGCCAATATTGCTCAATTTTGATAACATCTCCGTTATTTTGAAATTAAGCGTGGCAACGTTTCCCGATGGATTTAGCTAAAAAAAAGTGGTGCCTGTAGGGTTATTGAAAATCATACATGATGAAGAAGAAATACATATTCCTGAAATACAACAGTTTAATTTTGAGTTATAAACCATTTATGAAAACGGCATATTTGTCAAAATTACCAAAAACTTCAAGTGAGACGCGTGGCAAAATTTCCCAGGGGTCTAGAGTGGAAATATTTGTACCAAGAGTCAATTTGTAACTAGAATCTATCACATGACATGTGATGTCATGATTTTCATGATGACAGATTTTTGGAAACTTTTGCAGATTTGGACAACCCTAACCTATAACTTTGTTGAACCTGAAGAAACGTATCAACTTTTTGTTAAATAAAGATAGCAAATTCAGCTGTCTACTGTACCTAACTTGTACTTTTTGCTAGTACTCAGATTGATGGATATTCTGTCGTATGACATGCGACAAACATAACAATTCTCATGGATTTACATGGGAATGTCGATTTTCAAAAATTCATCTGATTTATCATCAATTTCCGATCTATTGTAATTGAGGAATAACATCAAGAAAATTACACAACGATGAACAAAATGTTTTAGAATACAACTCCACGTTTGTAGTCATAGACTCGGCGGGGCGTAGTGGAAGGTGACGGGACGTATTAGTCAAATTTGAAGAGATGTGTGGATGATTTAGAAACTGCTGCGTTTGATGCCCAAAAATCAAAACGTAGCGATGGAAGGTTGTAATGGGAGTCCATTCTGAAATTATGAGCGAGAATGGGTAAAAGACTGGCGAGATAACTTGACTGACAGTTGAAAGTTATGAAAATTTGCTTTATCTCGCAGCTGGGGACCAAAACGCCGCTAAAACGAGGTACTTTGTACACGAAAACAATGTATCGACTGAAAGGTATTTCTGTGAAGCTTTGTACGGAACAAATTTGAAGAAAAACGGTGAAGTGTGAGACTCACAATCCTTGATTTTCAAACACTGGGGTAGGTTTTAAATTCAAATTAACGGTTTTTCGGGACGGAGTGGTTTCGATACGTCCCGAAGAGATACTACCGCGTGTGCATACAAAGATATAAATCTACATTCTGCACTAATTCAGTGCAGCTTTGCACCATATTAAAAGTAGGATAAAAGAATACACATTTAATCTAAATAATCTTTAATTATAGAGATGTTAGTTCACAAATATTTGAACTCACTCTCTGTTTGTCAATATATTGTATATTCTTTCCACAAGAAGTTGGGCAGCTCCTTCCTTGCAGTGAATCGTTCCCTCAAGAAGTTCTTCTTCAATATCAAGTTTGTGTCTTTTGATGAACTGAAAATAAATAAACAATACACTTAGGCTACACACAAATACATTATTCATGTAATACTCAGGGGGTTATCCAGCTTTCAGTTAAGGGGAGGGGGGTGCAATCACCAAAAATTTTTTTGTTTGTTTTAGTCAGGGGGTGCGATTGTGGCATAAACAAGCCAAAAATAAGATTTATTTTGAATTTTACAAAAACTTCCTTCAAAATTGAGCTAGAATAAGAAGCATTTTAAAGGTATTTTTCTTCTATCTCATGGTTTTATTTTTATTTGTTATGTTCACAAACTCAAAGCTGAAGAGTGTTGTTGGATTCATGAATTGCTTATAGATATTTCAATTGAATGAACTTACAATTTTAAGCAAGGACCAATTCCTCTGTTTAGAATCTAATGATGTCCCGTTGTTATATGAGTGCATCTGGATTTCTTGAGGATAATACCAGGAAAATATCTCAGCAACTAAATATCCATTTGTTAGATCCCTAAAATTTAAATATTTTTTAATATTCATAAGGTATATAATCCTTTTCTGAACTAAAACATGATGTAATGATAATTTAAGATTTACATGTATCTAAAAAATGAAATACATGGTTCAGCTTTGTTCTTGTTTATCTAGAAAGCCAATTAAATGGTTCAGTTTAATCCCAGGGGTCAGTCACATCAGTGTCTGATACCTGCCCTGGTCATATATTAAAGAAAGTGTAGCTTAATGGGTCCAGGAGACTGGGCATGTACATGTAAGTCATGGCTGTGATGCCATATATGCAATGTTGATGTGAAAGAGTCAGTCGGCTCCGTAGCTGAAGTGGTATAGGGCACCTGACATGTAATTGAGAGGTTGTGGGTGCATTTCCAACCAGGTTGGAGTGTCTTTTTCACATCAGACCTTAGCATAGGGTTTGATCCGTATGTTTTCGGATTAACTAATTTTCCACGTACATGGAGGAATAGACTATGCACAGAATTCAAGCCTAGTCGCGGGTCACAAGATATGTCACTGACATTGTCAGATAAGAAGTAAGGCCATGTGACTAGGTTTAATTTGTTTAACTGAACACTCACATGAAAAATAGGCCTAAATAAATGATTGTTTTTCAGTGATTTCACTTGAGTTTTGACAGTCAATGGTGAATGATGATTGAATGGGAATTCCTTTCTAATTAAGACATATACGTACCATTTTGGAGTTTTAACTTGCCACGTGAGATCCAAACTCTGTATCCAACGTGTAACTTCCCTTGGTAAACCAGACATTTTGGCAGAGTCGATTAGAGTAGCTAAATATTTTGAAAATTAATTCACATTTGTTGACTGTTTCCTAACAACAGACTATGAATAGTTTTCAGAAATCTGATTGGCTTACACTCTAGATGAACAATTTATATTTGGCACGTCATGTGAATTTTCTCTACTTCCGGCTAACATTTCGGAAAATGATTTTTTCTAGTTTTTAGTTCATTTTAACGTTTAAAGTACTAAGGTAAGTATTTTATACACTCTTTGAAATAATTTCCCCGCATGGTGGGTGGATCTTATTCATTTCCGTCCTCATCTACATACTGTATACTCTGTTAAGCATGATAAAAGGCAAGAAGTTTAGTTAGAAATAAAAGAGTTATCTAATGAATGGGACCCTTACATGGCTCCTAAAAGGTAGAAGACACTAAATGGTGTAACACTATAAGCTGAATTTTGTCCACATAGAGCATGTGCACAATACTAAAGACATGTAAAATTGAACTGTCAAAATAATAGAAATTACTCACCAGCTCGCCTCTACCGGAAGTTATGATACGTTATGGTGTAACTACGGTAATTAATTTTAAAATATTGAAAAAATCAACAACATTCAATTTCTAGGGTGTACAACCATTTTCGATCGAATTTGCCGATATAATAACAATATTTTTTAGTTCCCCTAGGCTATATATAAACTTCATCAATACACAGTATATTCAACATAGGTTTTGCTTCTCGATTTTTAAATATCACTATGCAAAGACAGGGACTCATTTTAGGTAAAATCATTGCTTCACCAATGAAAATTAAAGGGAACGTTAGCTCACAAAATAAATCAATCTATTACAATGTTAAGTATATGATTTGAAAGATTGTCTGGATTATATGTGTGATCGATTGATGCATAAACAAACATATTCATTTCAACTTGCAGACCTCCATTCTGGCTCGTGTATAGGCCTAAGACGCCATATTGCCTTATGTATTGTACTGCCCATGCGTGCATACTTAATGTGTGACGTCACATCGACAGAGATCAGCGATCAAGTTTGACTAAAAAATTAAAAGATCCACACTTAACAGCACAAAAATGATATCAATGATCGCCTATTTCATATCAAATAAGTGTAGGATGTAAGGTTTAACATTTTTCATGTTATTTAGTATTTACAGAAGCAGAGCTTGTAAAGAAACCAAGTTTTAAATTCCGATTTTGACTGTTGACAAATATAAAGAAAAGAGAGAAAGAGGCGACTTGTTAGAAACAATGACATGAAATTGTGAATAAAAAAGATATTATTGTGGGTTTTATTTTTAAGAGTTCATCAAATACACTCATGTGTATTAATTTAAATATGTATTGTAATACCTCTCAGCTCTACCAAGGATTATAAAAACTGATCGAAATGGCTTCGTTTTTAAAGTATAAAAGACACTACCCTACCCGGAAGTAGTATAACATGTATATTGTAAACTGTAAATCACATGAATTGGCTGATGCAATCAGGATGTGACTAGTACAAAGTAACTATGATGCAATCAGGATATGACTTGTGCAAAATAATTGGCTTCACCTAGAATTCGCTCTTTGCTCTTTAGCATAACATGAAGACATGTTTTGTGTTTAAGCAGCTAGATTCAAATACAAACTAAATGAATAAAACATAAACCAACCATCATTTGTTCCAATCATGGCGATTTTTCAAGGAAATATGTGTAACTGAATGTAAATCAACAGCGGAGCTCTTCAATTATGAGGTGAGAAAAATGTAAAAATAAAAACAAAAATAAATCTCACAGAATAGAGCTATTTATACGATTCTAAGTACATTTTAAGTGCTCCATACATTAATGTAAGTATAAAAGCCATAAACCTCAACTGGGAAGCACTTTCCAACTATTTTTACGGCTTGAATTGTAAGAAAATGGCACTTATCTCAAAAATGGAAATTTGAAAGCTCAATTTATTGTGAAGATGAAGTTTATATATATCTGTATATGGGGGTGCGAATATATAGTCATAGCATGGGCTAATTCGCTTAAAAATGGCGATATATACCTCAGAACTTGTATTTTGTGATTTTTTCAATATTTTAAAATTAATTACCGTAGTTACACCATAACGTATCATAACTTCCGGAAGAGGCGAGCTGGTAAGTATATTTCAGTTCTTTTGACAGTTCAATTTTACATGTCTTAAGTATTGTGCACATGTTCTATGTGGACAAAATTCAGCTTATAGTGTTACACCATTTAGTGTCTTCTACCTTTTAGGAGCCATGTAAGGGTCCCATTCATTAGATAACTCTTTTATTTCTAACTAAACTTCTTGCCTTTTATCATGCTTAACAGAGTGTAGTATACAAGATATTCCCAAGCTTGATTTTTTCCCCGGATTTTTTCGTACTCGGCCTAAGTTCTTCGCCAGCTAAATGTCACTGGACTTTTTTGCAAAAAACCTTCCAAAAAGTAACAGTCGCATTTATTCACATTGTCGTACTTACAAAATGATCCACCGCCTAACTTATGCACCATCGAACTCTGTAATATTGTACACGTAACTGTTAATTACCGTATATTCCCATAGAAAACTGGGCTTGCTTTTCAACATTTCAAGCGAAAATTCTCTACGGAGCTTTTGTTTTTCTGACGTAATTTCTTCTAAGAGATCGGTGACGTGATAGGTTCAGTTCATCTTATTTCGAAAGGGGTGTCATCTATTTAGAATATTTATTTTCATCTTGTCCAGTCCTATATACAACCTGCCCTTATCCTTTTTGTTTGTAAAACCACGTAGTAATGTTGAAATTATGGAATAGATTCTCTGAGAGTGGCGACATGTCTGCATCTCTACCATCTTGCGTTTGACACCCCTCGTTTTGGGCGAGTCCAAGTAAACCGCACATCCGGGTGATTAGAAAATATACATTTTTCAAGATAATTCAAGCGGTGAGACAGATTACTCTGGTCAAACTGAGTTTTTGACAAAAATTTATGAAAGAATCAATAAAAGGTTAGTGATATACATTAGGCGGATGCCAAAAATTAAACATGGCGCCAATTTGAAACTTCAGAATGCCTTCTGTGATTCAAAATCACAAAAAAAGTCGAGTGACATTTTAGCTGGCGAAGAACTTAGACTATATCCTCTAGTCTGAAATTTTTTTGAAATTTGGAATGAAAATATTCAGACTTTAGCCCACATACTGATGTATACCATGGGCTTTCAAATAGAAGGGTAGGCAACTTCCCATATTTCAGACATAAACATTGCCTTTGGGTTTTCAAAATTGGAGAATGTACACATTCCAAGAAAATCTTTTTTTGTACTTTTTATGTATGATTAAAGAAATAACTCGAAAATAAAAACATGATTAACTTCATACATAATACATGATAATCTAATAAAAAATGGAATTCATCATAATTATGACAATACACAAAGTGAAAATTCTCCCACAAATTATGTTTTTATTGGAATGTGTTCTTGAATAATTACCCACAGTGCAATACTTGAAAGAGAACCTCTTATTTTTATTGGTCTTTTTTGTTTACTTTTACATGAGATTGAATATATTTAATGCTTTAATATTGAAAATTGATTTATATTCTAAATTATACTAAAACATATATATTTGATATCTAATACTTTATGAAATATTACCATAAAAGGGAAGCATGGCATTGCTCATTTTTGAAAGTCTAATGCTTATTACACAGAGTTGCATACCCTTCTAATTGAAAATCCATGTGTATACTAACAATCTCACAATAAAATAATCAATTATGATGATTTAGGTATTTCCTGAGAATTCAGTCTATTGATCATGATGTCCCTCCTGTGGGAAAAAACAGGAAATTTCCTGCACACCATTATCAATTCAAGGAAACTTCACTTCCAAAAAATAAGCATATTAACAATTCAATTAAGTAGTAAGGTACAAATGCTATAAAAAGTAACACATCATATTGTTAAATGGAAATAAAGCTAGTAAGTTAGTAACAAATATGCAAATTAATTTACCCAATCGGCCATTTTGAATGGCACTTCCTATGTAAACAAATAATTCTCAATCCCAAATTTTAACATAGGTGGGCTATAGTCTGAATATTTTCATTCCAAATTTCAAAAAAATATCAGGCTAGAGGATATAGTCTAGGAATTACCCCCACAAAGTCTATGTGTTAAATAAATAGATGTCACTAATTAATGATTTAAATTTGGGGTTCTTGATATGCAGGGGTGACAGGATCCAGTATCATCAGTTCAGGGTATCATATAATGATATTGCATCAATCTAACAATTAAAACAATTAAATCTAAGTTTAGTGTTTGGAATAACCCCTATGTTAGTGTTCGGATTTACCCCCCAAAAAGACTCCTGTTCGGAATTACCCCCCTCAAATATTTTGTAGTAAAAATGGTATAACCCAGATTTTTTTTACAATTTTTCGTAATTTTTTTCTGCATATGCATTCTACAGTGGATAATACACATAATATATATGGAATCATAGCATAGATGTGCAGTACAGCCAAGCTAACTACATTTTTTGATGGGGGTGTTTAGAAATAGCGACTCTATATATCTAGAGTCTATTTCGTGGTCTGACTGCGTCGGCAGAACTTGAAAAATAAGATTTACCTGAAGAAGGCTAGAAGACACATTTCAATGAAACGCTATCACCTTTGTCGCGTCAACTATAGAGCAATTAGCACAATATCCAAGAGGTAAATTATGGACTGTGAAAATGAATGATTTCCTAGTAAGTTCAGGAAGTTCCTCAATACGATAAATTACCAAACATTTGAAAAAATTGAATGTTTGTTTGTTGATTTTATAATACATGCTTGTATTCTTCTATACTTTGGTCTAAATTATAAAGCTAACAAACAGATCCTACTGTATTAATAGACTAATACAGCAGATGACCCATTCATACTTTCCATGCAGCATTTCATTCAGACCAATAGTTCAACTGTAGATCATGCAGTTCCTTCTATCTTAGAACAGGCCATCCTCTTCTGCCCTGTCCTAAACCCATCTGCAAAAGACCGCAAAACTTTCTTTTCTAATATTTTAATTATTTTTTTCATCAGACATGGTTTGATGACATGTCACAAAATTAAAGTTCAAGGTCAATACATTATTTCGTGATAGGGGCAACGCCGTCCCAGAAGTAAATACGAGGAAAATGGAAAAGTCCAAAAAGCATTAACACAAAGGAGTGGTATCGATATGGTGAACTTTTTGAACATTCGTTTCTCTTAAACCAGTCATAAAAATCTAAAGAACACATTGTCAATTTAATGGTCATCTTTTGAATGGTAACAATATTATTTGAAAAATATATATTTACTTTCATCTATATTGTTTTAGAAAACACATTATTTTTTGAATACTATTTTAAAATCAACCAAAAATTCCTTTGTATAATATTAAGAGGTCTAAAACATGTTGTATAATGCTATTTTGTTCCAACAAGGTTTGGAAAGACATTTTATTTCATTCTCAAGAATTGGTAGAAAGGAGCAAAAACAATTGCACTGAAAAAAACAAAAAATGTTAACAAAAACAGTGATATAAAATATTTCTAGATAATTTTCGCATTTAATTGTTGTCAATCAGTCAACATTACATAAAATACCATGTTTTTTACAGAATGTTTTCAATAATTAAGAGAAAAATATTGTTGAATTCAGTTCACCATATCGATACATATCCTTTCAATCAAGTACTGTGCAAAACAAAGCTGATATGGTTTCATTGAAATTTGTGTCCTTAAACCTCTAGAGAGTATGTAAGACTCCTAATCTTCAGGTAAATCTTATTTTTCAAGTTCTACCGACGCAGTCAGGCCACGGAATAGACTCTAGCAATAGCCTCACTACTGAACAAGGGGAAATGGTCATATCATCACTCTGGTACTCTGGAAAGCTACTGACAATTTCAAAAATAATAACTTCAACTTATTTTGAGGGTATGAAATGAAAGATTAGCCTTTCTTCTAAAATTTCAATTGTGTTTGACATTTCTCGATCTCCAAACGCAGATTTCTATATGGTTAAAATAGTGATTTTAAAAAAATCAAACAGGTACATTTCTAAAAATTTCTTCTCTGCATGTAGCATACAATGACACAATCTATCTCACAGCACAATATCTACAGCGACCACTGAAAGCTAACCTAATGGAACACTCCGCAATAATACATGTAGTCATCATTGATCATCTGAACAAGGTAGAAAAAAGCAACTAAACGAAAGATCAAAACACCAACAGAACATCACTTAACTAAAACAATAAGAATATTTTATAGTGAACCATGCTTGAGATGCTGCCATGAGTGGATGTGCTCTGTGTTCTTGAATGCAAGATCAAGTCTCGGTCTCCTTAAACAGCTTTACGAATTTGTTACGAAAGTCTTGCGTTAATGAAGATATTTCACAGGAAGTCAGTAATTGTTCACTATACTCTGATATATAGTCATCCCACACAATAATATGGTAAATCTGCAACCAAAGTCTATTTTATAACGGTTCTACACAAGCATATCCAGATCGGTTACCCATTTTACCGTTTCATTGTTGTTTCTCTTTACTAGCAGGCATTTCCTATCATCTCAAAATTAACCCAAAACTATATCACAATGCATTATTTCTTGTTTCAAAGATCATGTTCTCTTGTCAGTTCCAAACTTAAGAACATCAGACTAACAACTACAGTAGAACCTGCTAAGTGGAACACCTCTATAAGTGGAACACCTCGCAAGTGGAACGCTTTTTCAAAGTCCTGTTTTAAAAACCCATTGACTTAATGTTAATTGAACCTCTGTAAGTGGAACACCTCCAAACTTGAACAGTGAACACCCCATATTGAAAAATTAACCTGTTAAGTGGAACAGCCAATTTTCCATAAATTTCAATATTGATACTTATGTAAAAAGAATTAACCTCCTACAGTGATATCTGGGTATGAAAACGGGTAATAACGTGATAATTGGCAAATTAGGATTAACATATAGCAAATTGGATTAACCTCCTGTAGAGATCAACACGTGATGCTACCACTAATTAATTTGATAATTAGCAAATTAGGATTTTATAAGATTATCATTCATCAAATTGGATTAACCTCCTGTAGAGATAGACATGTGATGCTACCTCTAATTAATACCCCTTGCTGTTTGTTTCAGAGTTGATAAGTAAGATTAAGAATGTCAGTTAAAAACACTGAATTATTAGCAGTAGGAACAAGTCTTTAAAACTTGATTGCCAAACCTTTGTGCCTGAGACTGGCAGAATGAGGAGGATTAAGAATGTCAGAAAACATTTTTGGCAGAATGAGGAGGGTTACGAGTGTCAGACTAACAACTACAATGTACTGTTAAAAAATATGAATCCTTTACCAGGATGCTATTGGTCAGCTCTCTGGCTAGCTAACTAATCTTGAAATTTAATTGGCTAAGACTTTAGAGACCTACACATGTAGAATGATGCTCTATAGTGCTGCCTCGTCTTAACATGTTAACTCAAATATTTCCCAATGAAATATAATACAAAAGATTAAAGTAGAATATAAAAGACATGATGAAATAAAAAGTAATGAGCCAGGATCATTACACTTGCCTAGATCTATTATCTTATGGTGAAATGGTCCTAATCATCGCATGGTCCTAATTATCGCTTGATTGTCCTAAATAGCTACAATTTCCATCCGCCTCTTTAGAAACCTGCTGCTAATGAAACCCCTGACCTATGTTTCTATTTTTCCATATATTGTTGTTATATGGTTATGGTAATACATTTGGTTGCTAATTTTTTAAATTCAAATTACTCAATAGAATTATGAACTAAAATTTACTTTCCTGATGTTTGCCTTGCTATTTATTATACACATATTTATTTTTCAGATGATGAATGAATTGACACCTACTGAGAATGCATCACCATCCCTGGATTCTGATGAACTCATGGGAACAGAAACTGAGACAGATGGTAATGAAAGTCAGAAAGACATTGACTCTCGATCCAAAATAAAAAATAAACCATCCAAAGCTAGTGCCATATCAGAACAATATAAAAACATGAAAAGTTTACCTGGTAAACTCCTTGTTGATTTTAATAGTTTCGATGGAGTTTGGTATCATCACCCTGTGTTCAAAAAATATTGGGAACAATATCACATGTGCATGGAATGGCAGAAAAAACATGCAGAAACATACAACAATATCATTAAAAAGCAATGGTCTGATTGGATGGCACAGACGAGTCAAGTGTCAAAGTCATACACGCAAGTCTATAGAAATGCTGTACCTCAAACAAACAACAAAACATTGGGAGAGAATAATAAGAGGACACAACGTAGGAAAAGAAAAGGAAAAAAGAAGAGAAGACGTAAAGAAGAAATGAGCCCCGTGGCTAGTAGTTCCATGGTAGATAGTAGTGATTATGAATATGACACAGAAGAACAAATTTATGAAATCACAGAAGAATTGAAATCATTTTTTGAGACTACAAAGCTTCATAAAGAATCAAGAAGTAAGGTTATAGTTCTTTTATGATTTATACATAGTTAACACACCAATTACATTTACTAAATTGAAATGATTTCTGAATAACTCAGATGCGAGTTGGTATAAACCAGTTTCACCACCAGGTGGCTCGTTCGGGTCAGATAACATGGCGGGTATAGTAGAAAGTTCCCTTTAACTTAAATATTCATCTGTTTTAGTGGTTCAATTTTCATACCACCCTTATGTATCTAATATTTATGCAAATTGAAATATATCCAGTAAAAGAAAATGTTATACGTCCAATACAAGAAACAGATATTTCACTTTTTGTGACTTTATAACATTGGGTCTATGGGGAATCTACCCGAACTAGAATCACATTTTCCAAAAAAATTTAATTTTCAAAGTTGAAAAACAATTTTTGAATCCGTATTTCTAGATGTACTTTTACATGTAGCTTTTAAATATGACATCAGTTTGACTGAATTTTGAATATTTAACGAAGTAAATCGATATTATTTCTACTCGCATCGAGTCTATTTACTCACTGTAGTGTTTTTCAAAAGTTATTATCCTACAGAACAAAGTTTGATAAGGGATATTACATGACTCTCTCTAGTTTCTGGGAAATTATTAGGATGTGGTGTGGTGATCATACACAGGACACTGTCACACGAGCAACATGTGAGCTTGGTGAATGTGCGAGGCAAGTGACCCAAAGACATGGAGAAGGTGTTTTTGATGGGGTCATCTCTCGAGGAAAATTTTGAAACACATTACATATATGGTGTATTCTTACTTCTTAGCATTTATTTGAACATGAAAATGATAAATGCATCGTCTCTAACTTGAGCACATCCATCATCTTTGTATTTTCTGCTGGTCTCACAGTGCAAGTGCTAGGGCACCACTTATCAACTTTTGTTTCCAAAATGTTGCTCATCGTTCTATTTTTATTTTGGTTTAAGTTCACCAGTTATTATTTTAAGACTCTATGTGGTAATTACTTTTGTGTACTTTTGGGATATAGAGAACCCATCTATCTATTTATACAGGCAGTAACTTAAATATCCGTTGACAGATTTGATTCAAATTGTATACATGTTGATGTCTTATGGGCATAATATAAGGGCACTGATCAAGAAAAAATCTCAAGATGGCCACTGAATTCTTTGTCACCATGTCCATGTAAAATGGTATTTGTGATTACAGTACTTTGATTCAGTTCAGAATTTATAGGCTAATGCCTTAAAGGACCACTGTTCCAGAAGTTTGAGTAGGAATATTGAGAAGTGGTTCACGATTAATAGGGGTGATAACTGTAATACCAGTGAACAGATTTGGTTTGAATTTTAGAGGATGATGTCATCTTGGCAATGGCATTCATTGGTATGAACATTAAAGTTATTAGATGGGGAGCAGTGATCATGTCATGAATGTACATACATGTATTGACAAATGGAGAATGAGTTATCTAGCTGGTGACTTGGACCATTTACACAACTTACATAGCATGCATATAGCTTGTAGACTGATGCCATGATTAATACAATTACAAATGTATTTATTGCAGGGAAAGAAAAGGCTGCAATGAGGAAATCTGAAAAGGAAGAACCAAATGAATATGTTAACATAGAAAAAGGTAAACTCATTTGTTAAACTGCCTTTGGAATTTCATGCTGCTTTGGTTTTCATTTTGTTCTAAGCCTATTCATATTATTTAGGTGAGGCTGAAAATCCCAATGTTAAACCAATTAAAATGGGGAAAACTTGTTCCCTCATGAAATGCATTGTACATGTATTAAATACATTTTACTTTATTATACAATTTTCACTCCTTCCAGTTGAAGACCTTAACATCTAATCAACTGTCTAGTGCATTTTTAGATATGTTTTAAATGTAAACTTGAGGAAAATCTACTTTCAGCAACAATGAAATCTCAACATGCCACAACTTCAGCACCCACAGAAAGACCTGGAGCAAGACGTACCTCTGAAATGCGACAACTTTACGGGAAGAGTGCAGCAATGATTCATGGGATGGAAACAGCCATCCAACTGACATATGATAGAAACTGTGATATAGTTCAGCCAAAACTTTGGCCAAACATGCCATTAAATATAAGTTTCTCAACTTAATGTAGGATTCAGTTTTGGCTATTTTAAATGTTTCAATAAAAATTGTAACATATATCACTGTGTGTCTTGTTAGTGTCCCAATGCAATTATATTTTTTACATTCTGTGAAAGTTTCATGAACAAAATATTGAACATTCAATGTTGCATAAACCTATAAAACAACCTGATATTTTTGGTGCTGAATTAACATTTGTATGAATAGATACATGTATATGGCAAAGTCAGGCCCGTAGCCAGGATTTGCCAAGGGGGGGTTCAATTTTCAAAAATTTCCAGGGGGGGTTCACATTTGACAATTTTGGCCCAAATTAGGCTTAAATCACTTGAGAAGTGCTCAAAATGGTCAAAAACTGCATGATTTTGAAAGAATTTTTGGCCAGGTGGGGGGTTCGCCTGAACCCTGCGAACCCCCCCTAGCTACGGGCATGAAAGTCTACCTTCCATTTTGTAATACAGTGTTAATGGCATATCTCATAGGATCTAAATTCTCTTGATAAAAATTTTGAAATGTCCAAATCCCCATTGAACTGTGCAAACACTTTTGATGAGTGACTGTCAAACTTAATATCATATTTAAGCTCTCCATTGGTGTATTATCTAAGTCCAAGTATATACTAGCATATAGTATTTCAGCCACAATAACCCTTTCAATACTATGATTACTGACATTGAATAGTACAGTCAAGCTAGTCTTAGTAAACCTAGGTCTTAATTTAAATATTTCCAAATTTTCATTCAGTGGGATATGTTCAGATTATAGCAGTTGTTATCCCAATTAACGGAGTTTGAGGATATAGAGAAGCTGTCCGTTCGTGTGTCTGTGCCATAACTCCATAATACCGATAGATAGATTTTATACAAATTTTATAGGATGCCGTATGCTTGAGAAAACTTTTTCAATATGGCCACTCAATTCAAAATGGCCACCATTTTTAATAAAAATGTAATCTTTGATAACTCAAATACAAGTGAACAGATTCGGTCCAAATTTTATATGCTGATGCCTGAGGGACGAAAGAATTTCAAATACCAATGAATGGATTTGGTTCATTTAAATGCTGATGCCTAGGGACAAAGTAGATCTGTTCGAGAAATTTTTTTCAATATGGCGACTAATATTCAAAATAACCACCATCAGATATCTGTGATAATAAATGTTTAATTGCTGTCAGATGACCCATCTACGCACGCTCAGTCTTCATTGCGTTCATCGACCGGCGGGAGTCGAGTGAACAAATGACCAAGATGACCAAGAATATTTCTTCATCACTCATGGAGTTGTTCGTTTGTCTCAGTACAACATTTGAATATGGCACCACCCATTGGATGGTGGTACCAACGCAAGCTTTTCTCTAAACTAATTAGAGTATGTCATTATTATTAATTGATCAGTCAAGTGACGGAATTTTAAGAATATTCCTTTATCACTCATTTAGAGTTATTCCTTGTTTGTCTTGGTCTACAATTTTTGGGATATTGTGTATATATTGTCCGCACACATTAACCACGTGGAATATACGTTTACCTGAGATTTCTCATGTGCATTTTATTAATTTAAACAGTGAGCACATTATATGGGAAAATGTTTATTAATAGTACATGAATGCTATGCACTTAATTGATGGATTAGTCGAAATCACTTGTACTTATTTCTTTAACATTGATATAATAATACCACGGTTTAATCTTTTATTTCTTTCATCCAATTTCAATAAATCGATTTTAGAGGTTCTACCCAAGTGTAAAAAGTCGAGCCATTGTCAAGTCTATTTTGTAACATATCTCTAAAGTATGAATGAACTGTCCTGACTGTACATCTGTACAATTTAAAGCATTTACTTCACTGGCCTCATATGTATGAAGAAATACTCGCTATTTCCATATTATTCCCCATATTTTACATTTTAAGGTACGTCCACTTTATTTTATCCAAGAGTGATCTGATCACACTTTGAAAAGTCAATTGAACATTTTAGAATATCCCCAGAAGGAGGGTCAAGTTAACTTACAACTATACTATTAGGACAACCTACCAACTAGCCTGACGGCAAATCCAACAACACTTCAAATGGTTTGTTTGGCAATTTGTTGACAAGTAGAAAAAAGCAAATATGACTTCCATTGAAAGAATATTTGTGAATGTGAAATGAAATGTAAAGAAAATGAGTAGAGCATTTGACATTTCTGTAGTGAATGTTTAGCTTAGTTACCGATACATTCATCTAAGCTGAGGAGAACGGACATATAAAAAGATGTAGCAATAACAAAAACATCTTAGGTTAAGGACTACAAGATACATTCTTAGAGGTAAGATATTGATAGATGACGGATTATATATATTATTGTATGATATTGTAATTTGATTAATTAAAGTTCCAGTACTAGCATATTACCCCAAGATAGTGTTTTTGCTATGGAAGAAAACTATAAATTTTAACTCGTAATTTATATGGACATTTCTGTTTATATACAAGATAGATGGAGATGGTTTTGACTGGCTAGTAACATGATAGATGTAAAAGTATACAGACATATCACAGATCATGGGGTCAACGTTGGTCTAGGATTAACTGATTAATACTGTAATAATCCGCTAATCCAATTGATCGTTGATATAAGTATAGAGATCAATGCGTCTTACATGTCATGAAGTACATGTATGTAGTCTTGCATGAATATTCAGTAAGTTTCCCATCTACAATTCAATGATCTTGGAGTACAAAATGCTCCATAAGAAAACCATTTTAATAGTCCCATTATATGTTTCCTTTTAAACTATTAAAACTACTAGAAGTTTTGATCACAATGAATAGAAAGGGATCTTTTGACTACATAAAACTAAAAATAGTCTGGTTTCGAGCTGCTTAGATTTATTAAACCTGCACATTGCTCCAAAACGCAATATGTTGACATCTATTGTTTTTACATTTTCAACCTCTAATATAAAGTTTATGTAAAAAAAAGAAGAGAATTCTACCACTAGACCACCGTGTTATTATGCATGGAGAGGTAATTAAACGCTACTTATTTTGAATGCTATGATTCGGAAGTGACGTCACGTTCTTCATTTAGAAACCTTTCCAAAATCATATCGCTGGCGCCAATCGAAGCAATTTCAATGAAAAATCTTTGAAATGACACATTTATCGTAAGTATTTCTACACAAGATTTGCCCCATTTGTTCATCATTCACTATAATCTTTCATTGAGCTCAAAATGATAAAGTTCACCAGTAGTTACAGAAACGAGAGTTCTGACGCACCTTTAACATTGAGTCCTATGGGGAGGGACACGATTTTTCATATTACCCTCCCTAACATGGGCTCCAATGGGGAGGGACATCTATGAGCCTCCCTGAGCTCGGGAGGCACATACGGGGACCCCACCCCTCCCCCCTCGGCGTGGTGGCGTGTACATATTTCGGGAATCTCGGGCCCTAAGGTAACGGACGCCCTACCCCACGTTTGTACGTTTACTGTAAGGATACTATTCGAATTCCCGCCAAAAACAATAAATCGATAAACCAGTACGCGTTGTAAATGTCACTGCCTTATTTATAAAGTGCGGCCCAGGCGGATTATCGATTACCTATCAACCAGGCGTTTCGTACTCGCGAGGTCTTATCGTTTTAAGGTCATCCAGCTGTCAGTTTACGAAACAAATTACTCTGGACTGTACTTTAAAGTGCGGACCTAGCTCGATTATCGATTATCAATCAACCATCCATCAACTTTAATTAGTGTAACGTCCTTCATCGATTTAAGATCATACCGTTTAATGGATGTTACATTTGGTTGGGATAAATATTTATTTGCTAATTCGTCAACACACTTCTTTTCAAAATACATCAACTATAATACATATTTACATTATAACATTCAAAATTCTTCATTGAATCATACACAAATTACAAAGGTATTAAATCGGAATCTTTAACCCACGAATCAAACTTTTTTGGCCAATATTGCCAACGCACTAAATGTTCCCGTTGCCCTCGTCTAGTTCGTGTTTTCAAGATTTTTTCTACTTTCCAAATATCATCTTCATTCGCTTGTACTCTTTGAAGCTCCGATTGGTAAAAAGTACCCTTAATGTCTTCATTTTGAAAATCATTTAAACGATATAATGGGAGGCCCTGCCTAATAAAACGTTTCGTTACTTTAAAAATTTCCCCTGTCCAATGTTGGTCGTATTCTCTACTAAAAACATGTCTCGACTGGGTAATTCTTACCAGAGCTCCAATGGGGAATTTTAACGATAGTTGATTTAGGATAATACATCCGCCACCAAATAACCAATTCATCGTCTTTAGATACATTTTTAGGAGCCATTTTTATACCCCTATGCCAAGTGGCGTTATAACTCTTCACAAAGTTTTGTAAATTGTCTATAAATCTATGGTTCTGTTTGTACGTGATATACCTCATTATTTTAGTCTTTACACCACTTTTTTATATGCCTCTGTAAGTCGTGAATGCTATCAAATACTAAACCACAGTCATCACAGGATACCATGCTGTCTTCTCGAAATTCACGTTCCATGTAAGGGTAGTTCTTAACATCACTACTATTTATAAATGTTGTCGTCGGATAGTCAACTTCTGAAATACCCTGTCTTTCAAGTAAGTGTTTTGAATCATTCATTGGTTCCTTGAAGTTGCGGGAATCGTGATGACTTTCAAATTCAACTTCACTTTTAGTAAAGGCATTTGGTTTCAATCTGCTGTGCTCCGAAGTTTCTTGCTTCAGATCAAGAAGCAGGTAACCATAGGGTCGACTAGTTGCGTTGGTATATGCTCTGACCAACTTGTTTCCATTTCCGGGGTACATCTGCCTCGATAAGAATGCCACCTGTTGGCGATCTCTCGGGTTATTAAACAGTATCATATAGTGAGAGTTTAAGCTCATCGATCTATTCATTTTTCCTTGATGATACATATTCTGGAGTAGGCATATCACAGACAGATTTCGATGGTGACTGCCTTTGCTATAGAGATCACATATCCGTTGATCATTTGTTGCCTCATTCATAAGATCATCGAGAAGTATCAAAGTAGGAACTGAAGTGTCAAGGTATCTTGAATCATCAATATCCTCTGGTATTCCCTTCACAAATTCCAAATGTGGGTATTTTCTTAGCTCTTCGTAGGCAGGCTGCCATTGACCATAACACCAGATGATTCTTCTAGGAATTGGGGATATATACCGTTCAACATTTTTGATCAAGTGCTTCATAAGCCAGGTCTTCCCCGACGATGTTGGTCCGGCTGAAAATACAACAAAAAAAATTTTTTTTTTAATAAATTGACATGCTCTCTTTCTATATTTAGAAACCTATCAGACTTTTAATTTCAACATGTCCATGCCTATACCTGCTATCATAGTAAACGGATGTTTCAGCATAACATCAGACTGATGCATTTTTTCTCCATGAAACTTATTCATATGCCTTGATAGGTTATCACCTCTCGTAAAATTCACACTACACTCAGAACAATTGAAAGACATGTTGTCTGTTCAAGATCTATCAGTAAAATGACTCAAAACATGGACAACTTAAAATATATAAGAATATTCTAATGTGCAGTATTGTGATTGGTTCAAAATGTGTCAATTAAGATCAATTGTAAACATAAACAGGCATTTATGACATTATAAACTATTGAATATTAAAGTAAAGGGAGGGGAGGAGGTTTGGAAGATGGAGAAGAGACAGGAGGAGGTTGGGTGGAAGTAGGAGGAGGTATGAGGTAAGGAGGAGGTAGGGAGGAGGTGGGAGGAGGTAAGGAAGAGGTTTGAGGAGGTAAGGAGGAGGTAATGATGAGGTAGGGAGGAGGTGGGAGGAGGTAAGGAGGAAGCGGGAGGAGGTAGAGAGGAGGTGGGAGAAGGTAAGGAAGAGGTGGGAAGAGGTAAGGAGGATATAGGGAGGAGGTAATGATGAGGTAGGGAGGAGGCGGGGGGAGGTAAGGAGGAGGTAAGGAGGAAGTGGGAGGAGGTAGGGAAAAGATGGCTAACTTCCGTTTTAAAACCTACCTAGGCCGACTAAAAGATGCCTCACTTCCGCTATGATGTCACCCTCTTGCCCAGACAGATGCAAAATGGCTGACTTCCTGCTAGAAAGCTTCAAAATGGCCGACTTCCGGTTAAATGGCTGACTTCCGGGCTGACTTCCGGTCAAAATGGCTGACTTCCTGTCAAAATGGCTAACTTCCGGAACGTATAGTCGTGGGGTAGGGCGTCCGTTACTCTTAGGGCCCGAGATTCCCGAAATATGTACACGCCACCACGCCGAGGGGGGGGGGGAGGGGTGGGGTCCCCGTATGTGCCTCCCGAGCTCAGGGAGGCTCACAGATGTCCCTCCCCATTGGAGCCCATGTTAGGGAGGGTACTATGAAAAATCGTGTCCCTCCCCATAGGACTCCATGTTAAAGGTGCGTCAGAACTCTCGTTTCTATAACTACTTTCACCCCCGAAACAACCCAAGATTGCGTTTCGGGGCAAAGTCCAGCTTTAAATTTTATTGTAAAATCCATGCACCATCTTTATCACATGATAATATTTGGGTATCCACTATTATAGTTATTCCCTACTTACACTTTGAAGTATCCCAATTTAATTTTCATAATGGAGACATACAGTGTATAGTGTTTCTAATTAGTTATTTCTGTTTTGCGCAAATGAACGAATTTACAAAGGAACTTATCTCCGGCCCGTGTGGAGTTTAACCCGTCTTTTGAAAAACTTCTATGCAGATTCGCATCATAAACCCGCTTTCAGATTACACCATAATCCCACATTTGGAAACAATTCTTAAATGCATGATGGTCATTGAGTTTTTATGTCACCACCAGAAGTATTGACATACTAATTAAATCTTATAGTTGTATTGCTAAAGTCTCCAACTTTAGGACGGTATTCGGCGTCAACAATTTGCGTTCGACGTCTGTGACAATTCGCAATATACATTGTAACTTATGCCTGGGTCACATTTGCTGCGATTTATCGGCCGGCGCCCGGCCGATTGAGTATTTTGTTCAAAATTGAATACATTTCAGAACAAAATATTCAATCGGCCGGCCGCCGTCGTGAAAATCGGAAAAATGTGACCAAGGCATCACAAGGTGGTGACAGCTTGTCGTGTTGTACCCTGCGTGCAGAGTCTAGTTAAAGACGAAGCTCTCTTTTAAGAGGTGAAGTCAAACGAATGCAAAGGGTAGTCGTGTTGGGCCTTGTCTAAGACTTACATCATGCTGGGGGTTTCCAAAAAATGAGTTTAGGCATTGCGTTGTTGGTCCTCACTAATGAAGAGGCTAATCAAGCCCTCGGCTAAGTTGATAAAGACAAAGTATTTCGAAAGGACGATTCTCGGTTTGGAGAACAGTCTCCTGGGCTAATAATTTTTTTCATGAAAAATATAGAAATATTACCCAAATTAGATTATGAATATTCAAAAGAGGACATTTAAATCTACAAGATGTAAAAATAGCAAATTGGTCTGAAGCAGGGATAACGCTCAATTAGACAGATTCAATAAAATACAAGTCTCGATTTGGGGAAAGAAGTTCATCAGTGTACTGCGCTGATATTTTTTGCGAAAAATCTAGAAATATTACCCAAATTGAATTATGACTATTTAAAAGAAGACATTCAAATCTATATTATGAAAAAAGTCAAATTTGTCCGAAGCAGGGATAATGCTCATTTAGATCAGAGCCCATGTTTAGATTGATGAACTTCGTTCTCCAAACCGAGAATCGTCCTTTGGGCTTACAGTGAAGACATGCTAACTCATTTAGAAACTCAATTGGGCGGAATTTTAACAAAGAAAGATACTCTAAAAATGCAAGATAACTAATGGCCACTAATGGTTTGAAAAGAAATAACTCTGCACATGTCCTCATTCTGTACATGACCACTGCTTTACTAGAAGGTGAATAGATTTGTACATAAAATAATTACGACCAAAAATTAACGAATACAAAAAAAACATGAACTTTTTTACTAAAAATGCTTCTTAAATGATTATGGATTAATTTATGCAACACAAAGAGTGTTTGTCACTAGAAATTCTCTAGAGTCCAAACTTCCATCCGTTTAATACATGTAACCGATAATTATCTTGATTAATGCAGAATAACATTTAGTTATGCCCTTATAGAGCAGGACAGTTATTCCATGTGGTAGTAAATTATTAGTTCGAATTGAATTCATGGCACATATTTAAAGTATTGACCCATAAATGATGCCTACTTTTTCCAGATATCAAGATAACAGAACTGAGACTTTTTGAATGATACACAAACTGGACTAATTGCCCGAAGAGAATTCAAAATACCGACATAAGATGCAGGTCCCGATTATAAAGAAGGAGAGCATGACAAGCTTCCATAAGAAATACTTTGAGCTGGAAGACCTAAAACGAGATGTCAGTAAACAGTTGTCACGCATGAACACACTGAAGCACAGATACATTGAATGGTTTGAGTCGAAACACAGGCGCTTCCTGGAGGCTGTCATGACGGTCCAAGTAACAGTTCCCTTCGGGGATGTCCCAGTTCAAATAAACACAATATCGCATTTTAGAAAGCTGTATCAATACGGGCTGAAATTCAAACGAGGATTTCATGTGGATTTTACCACGCTTGATCAGTTCTTGAAATTCTGGGATCAGTTCTGTCTTCTTAAACGAGATTTGGATAATATCGTGTACACGAGAACTAGACGTTTTGTTGCAAGCATCACGAGACTGAGACAACCAGAAATGTATGAGGAAATTGAACGATTGCATGCATTCCTGAATATGGAGTTTTCCGAGGATCATAATTTTCGGGAAACCCACAACGAAAGAGAAAACTTGTTCACTTATAAGCTTTCGATGTGCGACCAGAGATTTCTGGGGCTCGTAGGATATATGCCCCATCTTGCAGACTATTGTACAAAGCTCTGTTTTTATGTTGGTAAATTATACGTTGAGAAAGAATAAAACTCGGATCAAATCTCGAAGATTATCATTGGCATTATTAGTTCTATGGATGTACATCAACTCAAGTTTCAAAATAAAAGACATTTACATTTTCACGTGGTCCCCAATCAACCGTGCTCAATGGCCTCCAAGTCACAATCGCCGGATGAAGTTTTCACCGCAGTCCAGCGTCAAAATCGAAATCGCCCCCTGCGCTTTTAATGTCTAGTTTGACAAGGAATTATTTAAGGGAGATGTCGGGTAGCTTAAACACAATTTGGGCACTTATTCATGGTGGTTAAACATGTTATTCATGGTGGAACATTCGTGTAACAAGAATATATGTTATTCATGGTGGAACATTCGTGTAACGAGAATACATGTTATTCATGGTGAAGCTTCGGGGTAACGAGAATACATGTTATTCATGGTGAAGCTTCGGGGTAACGAGAATACATGTTATTCATGGTGAAGCTTCCGGGTAACGAGAATACATGTTATTCATGGTGAAGCTTCCGGGTAACGAGAATACATGTTATTCATGGTGGAGCTACCGTGTGTGTGGGGATGGGATGAAATTAGTTTTGATGGATCTGCCGGGTAGCAAAGACATTTTTAATTTTACATGGGATCATTGAATGGCGGAGATGGCAGAGGCGAGAGAAACATGAATACAGCTATTAATGTTGAAACTACACGTATCTATGTCTACTTCATGAGTTCACTCCTTTATAATTTATGATAAGAAAAACACAAGACAATTATATTAAAATAAATTGCATAAGCCATCTATTTGCAGCTTCGAACATTATTAGAATACAAAACGGTTGAATATTATAAAAAGCAGCACATTCGATTTCTACTATGTTTATTTCCTACTCACGCCCGGTGATCGTACAAAATGGATGGAGGGGGAGTAAGCGATTTCTGCAAGGAAACTCAACAAATTTGGAAGATTTATTTTTTCAAGAGAAAATTCACAACTGAATTTCCAAATGAATAGGCGCAGTGCATGGCAAAGGTCTAGTATTCTTTTTGAACTGATACGCTTCTAAGATATGAGATCTTTTAAAAAGACGCATCATAACCAACGTGCAAAAATAAATGTTTTTGCTATAAATCAATCAATCATGCGTTATACAAAAAAATAATCGAAATAAATTAATATTGGATAAAGGGGGGGGGGGGTGGATGGAGGTGGCCTTTTTTAATAGATCGCATATCTTAGAACCGTATCAGTTCAAAAAATACGAGAAGACATTACATATTTTGCAGATGCCAATTTAAACGTGCTAGCAAACTTGCAATCCTTATCCTTAATTTTAGCAATAGTTTGTGAAGACGAGTAAGCAGACTAAAGAAAACATATATTTGAGCAAAAGAGAATATTTACGTATGTTTTGGAGTTCATTTGAAATAATCAATCTTACTTTCTTTGTTTAAAGAAGAGTAGAATTAAAGCCTCTAACTATTGAAAGCATTTATCACCTAACGAGCAGATATGCAGATTTTACAACAGGGTGTCCCAAAAGCAACAGGACTTGTGGTGTTAATACTTTCGTTAATACTACATTGATCGTGTTAATTTTTTTCACAGAATGCTGAGAATGTATTTTCATGAATTGTGACTACATGTAGATATGCAACGTTTAAATCGTATTCACGAAACATGTTTGAGTCATGGTACATGGTAACATGACATCGCAATATTCAGAATAACATATATTGACACAGAGGAGTGTTGGAGTCTTTTGACATTGTGTGTGTCCAATTTGTTTATATGAAAGCAAATAACCAAGACTTAAAGGGGCAACAAGGTCTGTAGAGAGAAAATTCAATTTTTTACTTTTTCTGAGATATCAGGGCAACATTTGGCATCTTCTTTGACATACTTTTTTTCTTAAAATATATGGATAAACTATCAATTTCCGCATTAAGAAGTGTAAAAACTGTAAATTCAGTTCAAAGCTTCTATAAAGGGGGTCCAACATATAGATTTTTAAGATCCATCACGTTTTAAGAGGAATATCAGCTGAAATAATGTTCATCCAGGAGGTTTCTTTGGAGAATATAAAAATCTATTTTTTGAGAAAATACACAGTTGGGTGCGGGAAACCGGCCCTTCTCCAAACTGTATAATTTTGGTCAAAATACTTAGAAGTACATTATCACGCCGCAGTACCCAAAACTGCGTGTACATTATGAACGCAATTTGTAACACTGACAAACTGCGCGCATATCAACATTGCATCATACAAGTGTTTTCAAACGTCATTTTAAGACATTAAATAGTTCATACGCCCATTCCAGGGGCGGATCTGGGAACCAATAAGGGGAGGGGGGGGGCTCAAATTTCAGGTTAGTGAAAAAACTTTCGGGCCCTAAAACCCCAAATTGGGCCCAAATTTTGAAATTTTGAGGCCCATTTTCATTAAGATTTGGCCTCAGGCCTGAAAAGGCCAAGTAATGACCAAAAGGCCCACTTATTGAGGCCTTAAGGCCTTTTTTGGTCCAATATTCTTTGGGACCCAATTTTTTTTTCTGGGCCCACCCAAGGGGTCATCGGTTTTTCGATTACCGACACATAAGTTAAGATGTCGCATTTTTCACAGAAATAGAAAATACTATATTACTTAAACTATATGCAGCAATCCTGTATCTTTCAGTATACGCGAACACAAGGGCTAAATAAACTTCAAGTTACAACAAACAGATAAATCAAAAAAAGGGAAAGCTCCTTGGGAACCTTATATTGAGTTAACTAGCTGGTTTACACCAGGAAAAAATCGAGGGCTACTTGTTAAGTAAGCTAGTCTCCACATAATGGAAATGTCTGATAAACAAAACTATTCATGTATTTCCAGAACTTTTCATCCTTATGGGAGTCGTGTACTCCCCGTCTGCCATTTTTAAATAGGCGCGCAGTTTGTCAGGGTTTCAAACTGCGTGCATAGTATGGATACTGCATCGTGATTATGGTATAGCTTTGATCAAAATAGGTGCAGAACTAATCGATGAAGTCGGTTTTCGGACACCCTGAATGTGTATATTGCCTTATTTATACTTAAAAGTGATACATACCGAAAACGCTACCATTTTAAAGTACGCCTAGTATGTAGGCCTAGTGTTAGAAGAATTTTAATAAGCGATTTTGGCTTGAATACAATACTTAGTAAATCATATTGCAATATGATTGATAGCCCTTTACACAGAAGCTATTCTTCGGGCCAAAGACATTTTTTGGTAAATCTCAATATGCATATTAGAATCCATTAACTTTCCATTGGTACGTGGATCGCTGCTCGTGAGATAATGACAGATTTTTATTTTTCTACATGCTGATTCAAGTCTAAAGCAAGTAAAAGCGTTCTCTCTAATTGTATTTATGTTTGTCAAGTTCACGGTCGTATTCCTTTGGGGATTCCGTTAGTCTAATGTCGTGCTCCTCTGTTATCATAAACATGGTCAACATGTACGTCTTTCTCAAATCTCTGCCTGCCTTTAAATGTGGCGAATATGGCGACACCTATTGCAGCTACCAGAAGAATGATCAAAATGACAACAACCACAAGGAATTCTAAACTCTGTAGGCACGATACTGTACTCGAGCTAGACGGTGTTCCATTATTGGCCACAGGGGCATACCCCTCTATAAATAGACAATAAATTGTGTTCATTTTCAGCAAATCAAACTAAAATCCTCTAAACATTTAGATATGCAGTAAAAGCCTTCTATATTTGGTTATATAATATCTTACCGGTACTCATTTTTAAAGTATGATTTAAGCTATACTGTATAACAACATGGAATAAAATCTGACTTGACAATCATGATTTGTTGTTTTGGTGTAGTTGCAGTATAAAGATTTTATCGCGAAGTTACTTATGTTTGGCACACTCACCGAATGGGTCGATGTTGTTTGTGGAGCTGGCTTCATTGATGACTCTGTAGCCAACTCGGACTTTTTTCTCCAATGAGCTGTTGGCGATGGCTGTAGTGTTAGTTGCTCTTCTTTTCCTTTTCGAACATGTCGTCTGAAAATATTTGCATACAATATTTCGTTGTTGGTTGCAATCGTAACGAGCTGTATTTTTGCAAACTGTTTAACGACTAGTGGAAATGAAACTCCAGCAGCTGGAAAGGGATAGGGATACAAGGAAAGAGTGATAGGAATACAAGGAAAAGAGAAGCGAGCAATGAATGGATAGAAATGCACGATCAAACATATGTATCTATTGATACATGGAGCTGCCGGTTGGTCTGGAAATGACATGCCGTCATTATAAACTTTATAGTTGTAATGAGCACTTCAAGATGCTACTTGGAGAACTATTGGAATGCAACTGTACAGTCATTAACATGGATAGGATAGTTTCTAAATAGCAGAAAAATCAATGAAATCTCGTGCTACCATCTTTTATTCAGCTTTTAACTCTGGCTAGAGCTCCATTCACTTACATGCTAAAATCTTGGAAAAGTGGCTTAATTTCATGATTTATCAAAGTGTGTTTGTTGAATCTGTATAAAACTTGAATGATATACCACATGATGACCCTGTTTATGAACATGTTGTGATTAAACATGCTAATGTTGATTGACATACAAATAATCCACGGTTTTAAAGAATTTTAGCATTGCATCTATGGACATTTGGCCCAACTTTTTTTAAATTGTCATAGAAAATTATTCAAATTACATAACTGTGTAAATCAAAGCTATTTTAGGAGAAAACATTCCACTGAATTCAAATATACCATTTAAAAGAAGGTAATGTTACTAATGTAGCCTAAGTCATTAGAGGTCTAATCTGCAAGTCTCTTAAAATCTCACGAAAAACGAGATTTAGCGAGATTTCAAAAGCTATATGGAAACTATACTGGAGCGCCTGAGTTGCTACTGCCGGGTGAAATTGGCCGCTGGCAAGCGTTCTCAATGTTGTATTAACGTATTGGATTTGGGTTGGGTATTTTACAATATGTAGTTCTCAGCATACAGTTGATGATACGATGTATAGGATTTCTAGGTAAAAACTTATATTCCACAGAAAACGGCAGTACCAAGGGAAATAAAATACTCACCACATCACATTTTGTAGCGAGGTCTCCCGCCGTGCAAAACTCGTATGTGCACTCGAAGTAGAGCGTGTCGATATTGGGAAAATGGAACGATCTCATGGTCGTATCTGTTTCCACAATGTAATCTGTAGCAGATGTGGAACCAACTAATTTGGCTGTAGTATCGAAGAGTCCACCACTTGCGATATCCAACCATCCGCATCTATACAGTATCAAAGAACGCAAATAATGAACAGAACAAGTATGGATAACACAATAATCGTGGGATAAAAACATTTACTGTATGCAGTATTTCATTAAAGAAAAAATTTCTAGAAATTTTTTTGATGACTAGTTACGCGGTATACATGATGTTACTTACCCGTCTGTATCTGTGATTGTGATGCCTTGGTTAGTGGAGAGTGGAGATATGCTTGGGTAGGCAATACAACGTCCAACAGTAATTCCCTTAAAGGCTATAGCAGATAGATGGGATTGGATATATTACTCTTCTAATAGCATTGTTACTGTAGCGAGTATGTGGAACATTTTAGTTGATGCTTTTTTATAAAATTAGTATTTGGAGAGCAAAAACAGCAAATGGAGACGGTTATCTTTGGGAGAATAGTTTTATATCCAGTGCTAAATGTACAGGGTGTTCAAAAAAACGAACCCCAAAGAAATCGCGATATCTTGGAAAATACTAATCCAATTATGTTCATATTTTCAGGAAAGAAAGAAGAGACTGTGTATGTATAGCCCCTGTTGTTATTTAGTTGAAAAACATGATGTCTTGGACACTTGCTCAAAAGACAGTTGTACTAGCAAAATACGAAAAGCGCGAATGGAAATTAACTATATCTTGGAAAATACTAATTCAATTATGTTTATTTTTTCAGGAAAAGAAAGAAGAGACTGTGTATGTATATCTCCTGTTATCAGTAAGTTGTAAAACATGATGCCTTGGACACCTGCTCAAATGACAGTTGTACTAGGAAAATATGAAAAAGCAGTCAGAGGTGACTGCTACAGCAATAAAACCAAATAACTTTCTAAGCATGGTGTTTTGGCACTTCAGATTTGGCACAAATTATCCTCATTCAATGTGTGGTGAATTTGTGGAGTTTCATCAAAATCACTCCAGGGACTTTATAGTCATGTAAATGGTCAAAATGCCTTCTTAAGTATCCCTGAACCAGGGCATTTGACTTCGATTTGAAAGCATTTCAACCATGACAGTGAAGTCCCTGAAGTGATTTTGATTTCACTCTAGAGATTTATCATACAATGAATGAAGATGGTTTGTGCCAAATTTGAAGAGCCAAAACACTATGGATAGGAAGTTATTTATTTTTTTGCGGTTCCAGTCACCCCTGACTGCGTTTTTCGCATTTTGCTAGTACAACTGTCTTTTGAGCAGGTGTCCAAGGCATCATATTTTACAACTAACCATTGACAGGAGCTATACATACACAGTCTCTTCTTTATTTTCTGAAAATATGAACATAATTGAACCAGTATTTTTCAAGATATAGCAATTTCTTTGGGTTGCGTTTTTTGAACACCCTGTACTTGTAGTCACTTGTATATTCAAAGAGAATGTATTCAATAAACTACCTCTACTGTTGTCCGTCATAGTGAGCCTCAGTTTGATATCCGGATAGGTTTGTAGATTCAGAACGGCGCCGTTGGCAAGCACAGTTTCGCCGCCTCCAGTTGCCACGCCCACTACTTCAAGAGTCACGGTAGCTTGAGTCAATGTACTCGTCCCAGGTAACAGACTCCTTGAATAATTCAAGTGGTAGAAAGAGATAGAATTGCAAGATTTAATGTTCTCGAAATCACGACAATTAAATGTGTCTCTTCCTATTCCTTAACATCTGAAAAGGTTTATGACATGGGAAAATGTGTTTTCTTAATTTATGATATCAAAACAGTATAACTGTAGCCCAAATAAATACCTCCCCAGATTTTTTTTATTGTGGTCCATTTTCACTACTACAGTATCTTCTTGCTGCGTAGAATGAATTGTCTGGGCAACTTGCCAAAATGACGACAGGCGAACTTGATTATCAGTTCAGTCGTTTTAAAAGATTTAACACACGCTATGAAAAAAGCTACTGCACGTCTAAAAATTGCAACTTACGTTGACGCAGACGTCAAAGTGAACGAAACTGTGTTAGTAATGGTAGCAAAGTCACACGCATTGTCCGTCACATCAAATTGGTAATCTTGTGACGTTTGAATGAACGCTCCTTCCTGGGTAATGACCCGAACTGTGTACACCTCTCCCTGCAAGCATATTTGAATTTGAACCGAGTAGTCAAAATATCATGTTAACTGTAATGTCCGAAACTGTTATAAATCGTTAATACTTGTACTGTATGTAATGGTAGTCCCCCGGACCGCGTTCCCTATATTTAGATATCTTCTGGTTGTGAATCCTAATGATTATGGTCTCAATAACATGAATAAGGAATGTCCTTCCCAACTCTTTATATTTAATAAGACCATGGACTATATGTATCACCAATGGACTTATTTTCCTTCCAGTCCGGGACTCCCATTAGTAGACTCCCATTCCATTTATACCCAGGAAAACCTCGGAGACTAAAAACGTTTACACCGGCGCAGCGTCTGTTCCCACAATCGATCAACCATTTATTCATAAACTTTATCATGAAAAACTGAATCTTGCAGATTTGTTGAATTTTCTAGCAGACACAGACTTCTCCTCTCCAACCATTTACCGATTGCCAGGCGTGATTATCCAAATTGGTTTATACATATTGGTATATATTGGTTGGTATGGGAACATATTGCAAATTGAGATTTGACAGATTGGTATCCGAGGGGTCAGGCTAGGACTCCGCCAAAGTTTGTATACAGTGAATCCCGAGGGTGGAGGTTCGGATTTTTTCTGGTTCATGAATGTTCATACTTACGACGTTCGTCATTCCACATTTTGCGTAATCAGCCGAAGCAACTCCGCTTGTCACGTCAAAGGTATACTCCCAGAAAGCACCTAAAGTATATCATATTAGAAAATTAGGATGACATCTAATATGCCCCATACAAGTAAAATAAAAAAGTTATTTGGCTGATCCTGGTCCATCCGCAAACTACTATCTAGTATTAAGTTTCTCACATTCTATATAAGCGTACATGTCCTAAGCTGATGTCTCCTTTTGTTGGGATGGGGTCTTATGCTTTTGGGATCTCATGCTTTATTTTAATAGACCCAACTGCACTAAAATGGCGAGTGAATAACAAGAACTCACCACCCCCCGCATCTTTCACAAAATCACAAGTTCCTTTCATTCCATCGGCGTAAACAGAGTTCAAGGGGGTGCCAGCTGCTTCATCAAGTCTCACATATATTTGCTTCTCCCCGAGATTCGTAATGGAGCATGAGAATTGGACTGAAATCGAATAATGAAAATAAAAGTAGAGATATGCCTCTGAGAGTAGTAAAGTATTGAATATTGCGGTACATGCAGACTACCCATTCAGATTGCGTCGGGAAACAATACATGCCATCTCAAATAGTTTTCTTCGTCTTCAATGCCCTCTCAAATATTTATTCAAAGACTAGTCAGGAAAAATAAACCAAACACTAATAATTTACAACATTTTTCATTTTAGAACATACTTTTGCATACCTTTATATAATTAAAACTACTTTGAGAATTTTATTCAATAGATCGGAAGATGTTATTACATTCACTATATACCATCCTTCATTCAAATCAGGTCTTCATTTATTCCTCAATTTTTATGGAAAGAAGTGAAATACCCTTGGACCAAGGATGCTATTTACTTCTATAACATTCCAAGATAACACGGAAAATCGCAATTTTATTATATATTTGGAATTTCAAATTTTGAGAATTATACTGAAATAACGTGACCGAGCAATGACTTGATAAATGTTTTGGGAAAATTGAAAAGATTTTCCTCATTCCATAATCTATTTTCTGTGACATAATTCTAGAAACATAGGAGACTATACACGAAATATACAAAAAACTTACTAAACGGAGTTGCTTGACCAGCGGCATTCTACAAAAGTAAATTGAGAATTTTGTGTTTAAAACAAACTTACTTGCTGGAGTCTGGCCAACCACCATCTACAAGAAAACAACACGAACAGATAGACGAACAAACAAATAAACGAACGAACGAACAAACGAACGAACGTAGAACATGATTGACGAGACAAGATAACAAACATTTAACTACAGAAAATAAATAATCAAAAATATATGTCCAGTTATACCTTTTATTGAAAAAAATAAACAAGTTTTAGTACAGATAACGGATATTTTATCATTTTAATGTATAAATGGTGTCAAAGTGTTTTTGAGTCTTATGCTGCCATTTGTGTTTTACCCCATTGTTTAATAAATGACGCATCTGTCTGTAATCTCACCTTCACCATTCCTATTACCAATAACAGGGCAATCAACTTCATTTTCAGAATTTTCTCCGCTTCTGTTCTGAAATATATTTCAACATCATCTCCAAATTAATCATATTGACCAAAGATGCACCTGTTCATTTAGAACTTGTGCTGACTGAATATGGAATTTAGCTGTCTAGATAAAATGATAAGTATAAATTCCAGAATTTCCTCACATTCGATGATTTTAATATTAATCGCTAATATGCTCACCAGTCCAGTTGATGCGTTCCCAACTTACCCCAGTTATAGTGATTAATATAAAAGTCAATTTAATTTATATAGGCGCAATTGCAAGGGTTTTTGCTCGTTTATTTGGTTAGGAATCTCGAATTGATGTCCCTTCATCCAATCGGAAAGTTTAGTTAATCGTGCAGTTTCTCTTTTGCGTCTGAGTCTGTCTAATGAATAATATGATCATAATAATGAATATTGGTATTTGTGTCGTGCTTCAAATTGACATACATTTACCGAAATAGGTGACATCCGAAAATACGCAACACAAATCCAAGGGGCTATTTCGATTGGGAAATAACGTAAAAATATGACAAATAACACTTTGATCAGAGAGGCAACGATCACAGTATAATATTTGAGTATTTCGTAAAATGTTTCATTTTTTTAAAAAATGGCGAAATGTATCTAAGAAAGCTAGATGATGACTAGATAAATAGTTTTCAAGATATTTTTGAAAATTCTGAAGTTCTTCATGAACGAATGAAGTGATTTTGATTTTATGTCCAACTCAATGCCTGTTTGTAAAACATATGTGAGTTCAGTGCTTTAATCGTTTTCACACATTGTAACATTTTAGATTTTATTCAAAACAAAACAGATTTCAACAAGAATGCAGATTATTTGAAATACTGTGTTCTGATTGGCTGAAATTTGATATATCAGGCCTTGCTATGTGTGTATTATTTTTCAACTCATGTCTAGTTTTATTGGCATAAGCATTTTCTTTTTTCTAATTAACAAATGTTAAAGCTCTTATCTTTCAGCGCTCAACTTTTAAATCAACAAATTTCTGAGGATTATTTGCTGAATTTTTAAACCCAGAAAGAAAGACTTTGGTTTGGTTTCGTTTCGAATTCGTTTATACAGGGATCGATTTAAATATGATTACTAATAATGAAATATAAGACTTAAGGTGTCAGTCTGCGTTACTGATACTAAAGGCCTTGTGTAAAGTTTGCTACCGAGAATTTACAAATCAAAATCCGTAGCAATTTGAAATTATATAAAACTTTGGCAAAATTCGGTAACCACTGCATCCTTGACATTAAACGCAGCAGCTTTAGAACACTCAAATCTACATTGTCCATTTAGATATATCGCTAGAGAAATATTATTGATACACGCACTGGCGGATCTGGGGCTGGGGGCTGGGGGCCCGCCCCCTGCCTTGTGTTGGCCCAGAAAAAAAATTTGGCTCAAAAAAATTTTGGGCCAAGGCCTTTTTGGTCATTACTGGGCCTTTTAAGGCCTTAGTTTTTAATTTCAGGCCAAATTTTGAAGAAAATAGGCCTCAAGATTTCAAAATTTGGGCCCACTTTGGGGTTTTAGGGGCCCAGAAGTTTTTATCTCTGACCTGAAATTTGCCCCCCCCCTCATTGGTTCCCAGATCCGCCCCTGATACGTATACCTCAGTACAGTACCCGATTGTGTTATATTGCTGATTTGTTCCTTGGGAAGAAATCAGAATTGTTTGGCACTAAAATGCGTCAATTTTAGCAGCATTTTAGCAGCTCTTTCATTTTGGATTATAATAAATAGTGACCAAAATGTCGCCATGTGAGTGATATATATATTGCAATGAAATGGTTTGGTCCTCCCTGTAGAAATGGAATTAGGGACTACAATGTCATCGTCCCATTGATCCAGTATGGATGTTTTGCTTTTGATGCACCATGTCAATCCACTTCAAGGTCAATGCTAAATTAATAGTTTAACGTGTCTTGATTCAAGGTAACTAAAGAAACCTGTGCATTATATTCTGAGGTGGCAATGAGGTTGAACTTTTAAAATATTGCTACAACGACCATCTCATGATACAAATCAGAATAAGGTTGGCCTAATGAGACATCATTATTCTGCAGGAATACTGTATAAGATATTTAGATATACTTTAGAGAAATGAACTGAGCCAATCTGCTACTGTAGTGAATTCTATAAACGGGCAAATAACGCCTCGAATCATTAATTGACGTTTTGTGGTTTTTAAAGGTGGAATTTATTACTAAAACATGTTTAAAATATTTGAATTGTAAAACCAATTTAATCTGTTCGTGATATTCATTGGCCTCTGGGCCGCAAACTTAATCAGACAAAATATATTATTTAGAGTAACGGGTTTGAGTTGAATCAACTCTCTATTAAAACATTTGTTTAAATCTAATTAAAAGATTTGTCATCATACATTAACGAGGTAAAGTTGGACGTAATTAACGATGGGGACGTAAATCGGTGGTGATGTAAAGCCCGATGTGTAGTCTAGTAAAAGGGGTCTTGGAAAAGAATATTTTGCAAAATATACCATATTTTGGGGCATCATCGGCGAGCCAACTAACATCTGGGCGGCACAGCGCCTCACGGGGCAAACTTCTACTGAACGTTTTGATATCTGCAGCTTTTAACTTTTATAATGCAGAAAAACATGAACACCTTTCAGAGCAATTAAATTTACATATTTGGAATGTGCTGAGTGGGGTTTAGCCCCGGGGGTCTAGCTAGCCTATTAGGGATATGCCTTTCAGTCTTCAGTGCTCGATTGAAACAAAAGATAATATGGCACGGGTGTTGATAATGTATTAATGATAAGGGTTCTACTAAACAGAGACATGTGTACTAAGATACAACTAGATCATCCCAGGGGTTTCACTCTGGATATCTCTTAATACCTATGTGCCGCGCCAAAGACCCCCTTTTTGAGCATTTTTTCAATGTCAATTTCCTCTCAAGATTGAAAGTTTCCATGTAAACTTGCTCTAAGACTTTTAAGAGAGTAAATTTCCTGATATAATATTGGTAGGCCTATATATTATAAAATCCCCTTTTTGGCCTGTTATTCACCTAAGTGCACTGAACGGATTGAGCTGTTATTTTCCAATTCTCGCAGTGCAGAAATTTCGAAAAAAAATCAAAAGATTTCTTATGTAGAATATTTAATATTATAGTCTATTTATTACCATATGCCCATGAACATCCATACGTAAGTACTATGTGAAACAATTTTATAAAATCTGATGTATTGACATCGTAGTTATATCAACTTCAGATTAGAATAACTTAATTTAGAAATTAGAACTTTTGTAAGAGGGTGATAATAGATCTAAAGTGGTGAAAATAAATAAGATTTTCTCCATCTGAAATGTCACTCGACTTTTTTTGTGATTATGAGTCAAAGAAAGCATTCTTGAGTTTCAAATTGACTTCTGTGGTAACTTGAAACCATCTTCTAATTTATTCCACTTACCTTTTATTGTTTCTCCAAATATATTCTTTGAAAATCTGATTTTAAGGGTGTTAATCAGGGTAATTCTGTGCCATTTTATCAAAAATCTTGTTGCTATCTAGAAACGAGCAATCGTGATCTTGTTGTTACCTAGGAACGAGCAACTGTGATGTCACGTCACACTCATGTTAATTCTGGAATCACATGGCAGCCATTTTGGAAATTTCAAAAAAGTTCCCAATTAAAAAGGCTAAATGCTGTTTACAAATTGGAAACTATGGCAGAATCAACTGAAATAATTAGGATATGGTTTCAAAATTATGCACATGACAATATATGACTACTAAATGCAGGCAGGGACTTTTAATTGCCAAAAAGTCGAGTGACATTTTAGATGGAGAAAATCTTAATGACTAACACTATGAAAAAGACATTCTGTCACATATGTCATAAATTTTTACCTCAGTGAATTGAGTGCTATATTTTTTCATCCCGGAATGTACAAATATAGTGGAATTTGTTTCCATAATGAAAAAAGAACTTAAAACTTTGAAGTGATATTTACATGTTATGCCGACTCTTCAAATGTTGAGGTGATTATGGAGCCTGATTACGTCAAAATGCCGTTCCGCCATTTTGAAACCTGTACGAGTAAATAAGGCTGATGTTGCATTCTGGGAGTCAATTCTCCTTGGATCACAAACATGGTGATTCATGAAAACATTCATTCGATTTGGTAGGAATTTATCAATCATTTGTAGGTATGAAGCGTTGGATTCATTTATTCTGCTACTTAGAGTGAACGGGAATTATTTTCTTCCTCTTGGGAGAGTTTGAGACATGAAACTTAGAATTGTGACAACTTTTGATGGTTGAGGTTTATTAATGTCTCCGACTGTAGGCCTATAGTCACGGTGCCCATGTCAAGCTGCGCGCCTACTTAGGCGCGCAGTTTGTTTCGATCACAAACTGCGTGCCTAACAACATTGCATCATTTAAGTTGGAGTCTGTATTTTGAAACGTAATTTAAAGACATTTATCCTGCATTGTTTTCTTGTTCAATGCGTTCATTCTGTGGCGAATGTACGAATCTTGCAAATACTTGCAAAAACTATGTGCAAATGAATCTAAGTTTTAAAACATAAGCAGATTAATGGCATTTTCGTCAATGATTCAACGGGAATTTATACGTAAATCGATCTAGCACTTTAAACATAAATGACAAATACTTTAGACTCGTTTTTTTTATTTAATTCCTTACGCATTTATCATGTATAATTCAAAATATTTCGAGATAAAACAGATAATCAGGAGATTAAAAAGAAATAAACCACAAACTGCGCGCCTATTTTAGCCAGAAATTACAAACTGTGCTCATACACTATTAAAACTACATATTATCATTGGAATTTCTACAGAGGCACGAGTAGGTGTTTTTCATATAGCTTTGTAAATTTTGTTTTATCGTCAGATTTTATGAGATTTTCATATTGAAAGTCAAAATGTAATAGAAGTGACAATTAAGTTGGGAACGAAAGAATCTTTTATTTTCAGATCACCATCTTGGTGGATGGACTGTCATAGTGTTTCAATTATGGGGTTCTACTATTAGACACATATGTGCCTTACATATGGCGCTTACGTTTTCTAATAATACAAAACAAGCTTGGATAGGCAAGTTTGGAAATATTAGGCACGCAGTTTGGGAAATACATGTGAATATAGGCGCGCAGTTTGACAAGAAAAAATGTTTAAATCACGTTTATGGCGTATTATCGTTTTGAACACAAACTATGCTGCTTTAATCAGATGGAGTGATCCTATATATTCTAGCATACACA